TCCCAGCCTACCTTTCCACCTTACTCTTACCCGTTATACAGTTCCTTCTTTAGTTTTATTTTTAAAATTATGAAAATGTTTAAACATACTAAAAAAGTAACAGTTCTATGATCCCCCATGCAACAACTTCCAAAATAAAGATTTAGCTACATTTTTTTAAAAATATTTTATTTGAAAGAGAGAGAGAGATTGAGCATGAGTGCACAAGCGGTGGAGAGGGAGCAGCAGCAGCCTGCGCATAGAGTAGGGATTCTGATGCCAGGCTTGATATCAGGACCCTGGGATCATGACCTGAGCCAGAGGCAGACGCTTAGCCGACTGAGCCACCCAGGCGCCCCAGCCACATTTCATTGTATGGACATCTTATTTATTTTCACCTTTTATTTAGCTAGGCTAACCCAGCTTCTAGGGTAAGATGGTATGTCCAAAGCCCAGCCTTGCTGGGGAAACTATTTCTTTGGACCTCAGTTTGTTCCTCTGTAAGCTGGGAGTAATAACAGTACATACCTCATATGGTCATTGTGAAGAATGAGTTCATACATTTAAAGAGCTGAGAACTCTGTGTGGCATATATAGTAGGTGCTTAATAAATGAGGCCATTATCATTTAGGACAAGTCATACATCTCTCTCCCTCAGGATCTTTCCACAGCCTACAAGCACTAGTCTCCACTTGCCCTCTCAGACTTTGTTCCGTTTGTCTACCAATAATTCAAATGTGACATCTCTAGGAAGACTTCCCTAACCTCCCCAGATTAGGCTATATTGTCCTAATATGCTTTTGCTTTTCCTGCATGGCACTTATTTGAAATTAATTTGTGAGACTGATTAACAAATGTCTCCATTACACTGGAAGGAAGCTCCATGAGGATGAAAATAGTATCTGTTTGGCTTCCTGTTTTAAATCCCCAACACCTAGTACAAACTAGGTACTTAAAACGTTTCTTCAACATTCAAGGATCAATTTCTTTTCTAATCTGTTTTGGATAGAAACCTCTATTATCAATATGTTTACAACTAATTAGAATAAATGTAGTAAATTTTGTAACAGGCTTAAACAACTTGTTTCCAGTTATTTGAGGGATTAAAAATACTAAAAGTATATTAACAAAGAATACTTTTTTTTGCACAGGTTTCTTAAGAAAAACAATGCTTCTAGGTACAAAGTTTGTCTGCTACAGTTTAATTCTATTTTTTTTTTAAAGATTTTATTTATTTGTCAGAAAGAGACAAGAGAGCACAAGCATGGGGAGCGACAGAGTGGAAGGGAGCAGACTCCCCGCTGAGCAGCCCGATGCAAGGACCCGTTCCCAGGACTCTAGGATCATGACCTGAGCCAAAGGCAGATGCCCCAATTGACTGAGCCACCTAGGCATCCCTACAGTTTAATTCTAAAGTAAATGATGGAATGGAAGTCAGGGGAGGTATAAGCCAGCAGAGTTAAATGGTTCAGATATAAACAGAAGGAAAAACCTCCAGATAATCTTTCAATTCAATTTCATGTTTTTTTAAGTTTATTTAAGTAATCTCTACACCCAATATGGGACTCAAACTCACGACCCCGAGATTAAGAGTCCCATGCTCTTCCAACTGAGCCAGCCAGGCACCCTTTCACTTTCATATTTTTACACAATTTCTACCTGTATAGGAATTTAGGGGACTTGATGATCTTACAAAAGATTAGTATCATCAAATCTTTTTTCCTAGAAAAATCCATGTGTATACAAGAATTAGATTTGTATTTTTTTCATTACAATGATGATAGAAAAATTCTTCTCATGAAACTTCATTTCCCCAAGATACTAGTCACCTATTTTCAAATTTCCAAATCATACAGCCAACTATCAGTAAAATATAAAAAACCTCAGATAAGTTTCAAAAGCACTTTGTCTTAAAGTTCAGTTCACAAAAACCCCAAATTCTGTCTCTTGATGGGTAGTATTTATAAGTAAGATTGGTAAACCAGTCCAGGAGAGAAAGAGGGTATAGCCAAATTCTATATCTAGCATGCTGTGTTCTGTATTTTTCTCTTGTTTAATCATTCTGCAAATTAGCAAATTAAAAGCTCCAAGAAATAAGTTCAACTTGGTTTAAATGCTTTCCAAACTTATTTGATGACAGAACTTAGAAATATGCCTCAAAACCATAGTTATCAAACACAATTTTGAGAATTGCCAGTCTGGCTGCATTAACCAGTCAACTAGTCCAGAATCCTACTAAAAATATAGAACCTTGACTTGTCCCATAACTTCTGGTGACCATTAACAGTTCACAAGCCAGCCATTTAATAAATTCATTTTAGAATCTTATCAAGAGTTGATGTGTTTTATAATTTGCAGAATCTACTTACTTCCTTCTGAAAAACGAGGTTATCTGCCAGTCTCTAGACTTTGAGTAACATAGTAATTTTCTTTATAATTCCCCAAGGTTTAGTAACAGGAATTTAATACCCTCATCGATCAAGTTCTTAATGAGAATGGGGTGGGTGGGATTAAAATGGTATCTTAAAGCATTTGAGAGCAGAAAATGCAGACAAGCCTTATTACCTTTGAGACCAGCAACTTGAAAGCTGTCAGGAATATATATTGATCCTTTTAAATCAGTGGCTTCATACTAGAATTACTCAAGGAATTATCTGAAAATATATGGCACTACTGGGGTTGAGACCCTAGGTACGGGTATAAAGTTCCCACATTTCCAGATAAAAATCCTTGTTTTGGGTAATACATTCCTCACTGTAATCATTTGTAATAAGGATAGTTTAACTGTTACTTGTAATGAAGATGGTAAAGACTTCTAAACTTCTAACGTTTTTCTGTTTCAGGCCATGGGTCAATGCTATCCTATCCTCCTGTGAGTATATTACACTCTATTTCCTTAATAGTAGTTTAGGGTACTCTACCATTATTCCTTGATCTGGTTTATCAGAATTAAGATGGTAGGACTACTTCTCCCCAAGGTACACATTTGTTCCATTTGATCAACCAGTTCTTCCTCTGTGGTTAAAGTTCTGAAGAACAGTTTTCAGAACTCTTTTTTCTTCATCCTGGGAGTAGGAAAACCAACAAATGTATCAGAAAGTCCTGCTGGAGTATTTCAGAACATTCTTTAGTAGATTACATGTCCCAATACAGTCTGGTCTGCCTTTGTGAATTTGGTTGTCTTATTGGTAAACTATCCATTTATATTCACTTGGCTAGACAGTCTGTAGTATGCCCCTAAAGTAATCTCATTCCTCTCCTTTAGTTCTCAAAGTGAGCTATCGCGTTCTCTTAGACACACAGCACTACATTACCTCATCTCTTAAAGGTTCTGTTACTTCTAACCAAGTTATTCTTCTATCATTAGATTCCAGTAGTTTTGTTTAGTAATCTCGACCCCTAACGCAGGGCTAGAACTCATGACTGAGATCAAGACTCACATGCCCCTATATTCCAGTAGCATTATTCCACCAACCTTTAATCATATATATTAAAATATATTCTTTATTATTCTTGTTCAGTGAATTGTCTAAGACTTTTAAGTTAAATTTTTGATTTCTAGGAAACTGAAACTTACTCTTTTTATATTATACCTTACAGTCTTCAGAGATCATAGTTTTTTTTAAAGAAAAAAATACTGAATTTATTTTGGTGACTTAAGAAATAGATAATTATTTTATCCTTTCAAATAAAACCTCCTAATTGATTAATACTTTAAGCACAGGTTACTATGCTTAACTGATTTAAATTTATGTGAACTTGAAATATTACCATTTTAAGTTTTCAGCTATCTTGGCAACATCAAAAGGAAAGGACCAGTGAAATGCCACCTTTGCTCCTAAACTACCAAGAGCTAAGACCCATACAAATTTTATGGCAAGTAACCTAAAACTCTTCTAAAAATGATTAACCGTTATTCTATCCAACAAGAAAACAAATACAACAGACCTATCTAATTAGTTAAGACACCAGATACTCATCATGCAGTTTCAGTGCCTAGTAACAAACCTTTAAACTGTAAAATTTGTTTCACAACTTCTAAGTACTAATAACACATTTTAAAAGGTTGATATCCACTTTAAACTATATATAGAAGTACCAAGGTACACAATTATCAAGAGAATGTGCATGTACACCAGTCTCAAGTCTAAATTTGGAGCTCAACCTGGCAGTCTCCAAAGAGTCTACATATACCAAAGTCATTAGCATAACTTTTAAAAATAGAATTTTGCATGGGCTGGGAGAAATATGATTAAATAGCTGGATGTCCTACTTCTAGAAAGTTGATAGACATCAATCTATATTTTTCATGTCAAAATGTGATTGACTTGAGTTGCCCAAGAAACAAGTTATCTTTTTATCATATCAAAAAAGAGAGTGCAAATGTAACCACTAGAAATTAAAATGAAAACAAATACTTTAGAATAGTTTTTTCAGTACCTTCAAATTCTGACAAAATTCAGTACATTAAAAAATTAAATATGCCAATTTTGCTTACTGCTATCAGATTTTTAAAATACTTTTCATTTTTTGTCCATATTCAGTAAGTAATAAACTTTTTTTTGTTTTTTAAAGGTAGGCTCCATGCCCAGTGTGGAGCCCAATGCAGGGCTCAAATTCACAACCCTGAGCTCGAGACCTGAGCTGAGAGCGAGTCAGACGCTCAACCGACTGAGCCACCCAGGGGCCCCAAACTCTTAATTTTACTTTTTCACATCTAAGCTAATAGCTCTAGGGTATTCCTGAAAAAGAAATAATGTAATCTGAAATTAAAAATGTTAAGATATTCAAAGTAACAAATCTGTAATTGATACCACTAATGGTGACCTTAAGCTTACATTTTAATATTTCCCTTAATGAGTGTGTCTCAATAATTTTTTTTTAACACCACCATACACCCCAAACACACCCATGGACCTTATTAAATTCAAGAAAATAGCCTAAAATGTTGGTCACATTGCCAGATTTGGCCAGATTAAAGAAAAATTGCTGATGATAAAAATGGCCTTTACTTTATTCTCAACTACTTTTGTTATATGTGCATTTTAAAATTATTTAACAAAAAAAGACTTTTAAAATATATATTTCAAGTCTCAAAGTTAATTAAAAAGAAATGTATAATATTTCATTTGAAAATAATAGTTTCAGCAGATATATGCACAATCCCTACATGAGTTGTAAATCTGTCATCAAAACCATCACATTTTAGTATTTTTAAAGGGAAATTCAAGGTAGATTTTTTTTTCTGCATTATGCAACTGATTTAAAGACAGTACTTTTACATGTAAAAATAATTTACACTAAAAAACTCAAGCACAGAAATCTGATACTTTGTTTATCAAAATAACGAGAACAAAATGAGCAATGAAAAAATAGCAAAAGCCATTACAAAAAATAGTAAATTCCTATTTAAATTCCTGTGTCCACACAGATTAAAAACGTTTATTAATTAACTATATCACACAGATTGTAGCATACTTTAAGCTATAATATAGAAAGGTAACATGGGATATTTGAAATTTAAGCTGCACTTACCAAAATAGTTTTAACCTGAGTCTTTGACGTCTTCAGAAATGTACTTGACAATAAGGTATGATAAAGTATAATTATTATTTAGTAGTATAATTCAAGGTTATTTTTCTTTGAATTTCTCTTAATACTGCTTCTTAAATATTTGTGTAAAATTATAAATATTACATTTTTGGGGTTCTCTGAACACAAGGGAGTGTATGAATTAAAAAGCTGTTATTTTTTTCCACTATACAAGCATATGAAGATGTCTTTCTTGTCCAAAATGTCTTATATTTAATCATATTTTCATGTTTCAAGTTATTTTAGAACAAATGCAGAAGGTCAAAAGATTATCATAGATACTTGAATATTCCCATGAAATATGTCACACTTACTAAGGAATTTAATACAAGTTCACTAAAGAATATCAAATTAATCATTTCCTCCTATAAATATTTTCTTTTTATTTATTTTGTGTTTAGAAGTTGCAGTTTTAAGTACTATTAACAGAAAATACATAACAAAAGCTTCCTAACAAGTGAAAAAAATAATTATAAATGCTGGAAAAATTGGCCTCATTAACATATTTACAAACTTTTACTTAATACATACTCCATCGGAAATTAATTATATGACATTTATACAAGCATTAACATTTCCAGATCACTCTGAGTAGTGAACACTTCAGTTCTTTACTGTCTATATCCAAAGTTGAAAGCCACTCAGTTTCTGAAGGCAATACTGACAAGCATCAGAAATGGATCAATCTGAGATGTTATTGACATATTGTTCTGTTCCTTCACCTAAAGATGTTTCTGTTGAATAAGCGTCCTTATGCTTCTTTTTGTCTTTGCTCTGATCTTCCTGTAGCTTCAGAATTATGTTTCGGATTTCTTCTCTTTTTGTTCTCATTCTTGGGGGAGGAAACCAGTTTGCCAAATTCATAGGTAGTTCAAAATTGAGAATTGGATTCTGGAAATTAAAATATTAAATGTACATTAGAAAATTATAATATTTTAGTTTCAATCACAAAAGCATTCCAGAGTTAAAAATGAAAAATCAGTAACTCATTTAATAAGTATTTAATTATCTATCTCATGCCAGATATTATGCTAGGCACTGGAGATAATGAGATAGTTTTTGCCTAAAGATCTTACAGTCTAGACCAGACGTCAGCAAACTACAGCTAGTGGGCCTCATTCTGCCTACTGTCTATTTTTGTAAATAAAGCCTTACTAAAAGCCTTACAGCCACAATAACTCATTTCCATTGCCTGTGGATGCGCTCATGCCGCAATACCTGAACAGAGAGTAGACATAGAAATTGTATGGCCACAGAGCCTAAAATATTTACTACTTGGCCCTTTTACAAATGGTTTGCTGACTCTAGTCTAGATAGACAGATAACAATTAAAAACAATGGACATGACAAGTATTCTGAGAGTAAAAGCAGAAAAAGTCCTATGAAAATCCATGCCTGGGGGCTTAACACAATTCCAAGAAGTGATATTTAAGCTAAGACCTGAAGAATGAGTAGGAGTTAGTCCAGTAAAAAATGACAGAAGCAACTGGGAAGAACACCCCAGGTAGGGACATATGTATCAAGGGCTAGAGGCAAGAAAAAACATGACACAATACAAGAAACTTAATGACATTCAGGTAGCTGATAAACAGAACGCTAGAGTAAGAATGGTAGGAAATGAATGAAGCTAGAAGCTTCAACGGAAGTTGGGTCACTTAGGCCATGTGAAGGATTTTCATCTTTAGCCCAAGAGCAACAGGAGTAAAACAATTAGATTTCAGTTTCTGGAAAATAAATGTGAAAAATAAAAGGCAGCATGCTTAGAGACTGGTGCAGCAATTCAGAATGGTGATGCCAGTGTACTGGGCTTAGAAAGTGGCAGCAGGAATAAAGAATTGAACATATATAACGTTAAGTGATAGAATTCATAGAACTGAGCGCTATACTGGTGATGGATGAAGAAGAGGAAGGAGTCAAGATAATTTTTTTTAAAGATAGCTGAGTTATCTTTTTTATTTAAAGATTTTATTTGAGAGAGAGAGCGTGCATGAGAGCACGAGAATGAGCAGCGGGGAGGGGCAGAGGGAGAAGTAAGCTCTCTGCTGAACAGGAAGCCTGACACGGGGCTCAATCCCAGGACCCCAGGATCATGACCTAAACTGAAGGCAGACGCTTAACCAAATGAGCCACCCAGGCACCCCAAGAGTCAAGATAGTATGGTATTGTATCCCTGAAGTCAAAGGAAGAAAGCATTATGAAGAAGGAATGGTCAACAGTGTCAAGTGGTGCTGGGAGGTTGGTAACAATTTCAATATAAGGATGAGAGTAAAGCCAGATTACAGAGATTTGAGAAACAAGTAGGACTTGTGGAAATGAAGACAGTGAATATAAATACTTCTCCATAAATATATCCATAAAGGGGAGAAAAGAGGGTGAAAAGTCAGAATCATGGGAGAGATTTCTTAAGATGGGAAGAGTTAATGGAGAGGGAGAGTTATCAGAGTGATGAGAATGGAGTCAACAAACCTTGGATTTGATAAAATATAAATAGTCTTTTTATGCTTTAAAAATTCTCCAATTTGGGAGTTTCTGCTCCCTGGAAAAATTTTTGAAATGGTTTTCAAATTCTTTAAAATATTTCCTTATTGTGTTTTTCACATTAATATAAGGTCAAATACAGTTGACCCATGAACAGTGTGGGGATTTGGGGTACTGACCCTGTGAAGTCCAAAATCCACAAAGAACTTTTGATGCCTGAAAAACTTATCTACTAGTGGCCTACTATTTATCAGAATCCTTACCAATAAACATAAGCAGTCAATTAACACATATTTTTTATGTTATATGTATTATATTATTGTATTCTTACATAAAGCTAGAGAAAATAAAATATTATGAAAATCACAAGGAAGAGAAAATACATTTATAGTACTGTACTGTATTTATTAAAAAAAAAAAAAATCAAACCCGTGTTGTCTAAGGAGTCACTATACGCTATTTTATTATTTATTATATCAGATCCAACATACTGAAACCCACCTCAAAAAAGCTCTCTACATACTGTAACACATATACACCACAATCACTGAAGTTGTTTTGCTGGGGTACTTTTGGATTAGAGCCTTTCATAACATCTTTGGAAAAACTTCTTTTGCTTCCTTTTTTAACTTCCCATTCCACCTCTAAATACCTGCAATAATGCACATATAGTAAGAATATACATACATAAATATACACAGTCCCTCATTCCCACCAGAATACAAAGTACAAATTATAGTTTTGAACTTACTCTCTTAGAATTTTTACAACATTTGATCGAGAAGGGCCTCTAAGTGAGTCCATCAGTAGGATACAAGGTCTGTAGGGTGAAATGATGAAATGTTAATATTTTATAATGTTTTTGTCTTTTAAAGATTATTTCATTTATTTGAGAGACAGAGAGAGAGAGAGCGAATGAGAGTACAGCACAAGCAGGAGGGAGAAGCAGGCTCCCGGCTGAGCAGGGAGCCCAAAGTGGGGCTCGACCCTAGGACCCTGGGGTCATGACCTGAGCTGAAGGCAGACGCTTAACCACTTAACCGACTGAGGCACCCAGGTGCCCCAATACTTTATAATGTTAAAAAGGCATAAAAAAATGAGCACTAACAATAGAATTTAAATATTCAAAATTCCCTTGCCTCAGTAAAACTTGGGGAAGAAATAAATCTTACAGATACATATACCCTAACACAATACTTAAATATACATGATTATATTAAATACCAAATCGCAGGGACACCTGGGTAGCTCGGTCGGTTAAGCGTCTGCCTTAGGCTCAGGTCATGATCCCAGGGTCCTGGGATCAAGTCCCACATCGGGCTCCTTGCTCAGTGGGGAGCCTGCTTCTCCCTCTGCCTGCCATTCCCCCCGGCTTATACTCTCTCTGACAAATAAATAAAATCTTAAAAAAAAAAAAACATAACAACAAAAAAACCAAATTGTAGAATATTAATTGAACCACATCTTATTATGAACATATTTCACTAAAGTTCCACTGTGGGTTCCTTAAAAGAATACAAAATTTAGTAATGTCAAAATAATTCTGAAAATTTGAACATCCCCAGATTCCAAATTACCAGAAGTGGGACCATGTTTTTTTTAAGTTTATTTTTTTTTTTAGTAATCTCTACACCCAATATGGAGCTCAACTCCACAAACCCAATATCAAGAGTCACACACACACTCTTCTGACTGAGCCAGCCAGGTGCCCTGAAATAACCCCATTTTTAACTAAAACCTATAATAGATAAAAAAACAGGTAATCATCATATAGAAGAATTAGTTTAGGAGCACCTGGCTGGCTCAGTCAGTGGAGCATGCAACTCTTGATCTCAGGGCTGTGAGTTCAAGGCCCCCATTGAGTGTAGAAATTACTTAAAAAAAAAGAAAAAGAAAAAAAAATTAGTTTAGAATCCAGTGTTTTTTGCAAGATTCCACTTTACATTCAAACAGAGAAATGATTATCCATTCTCCACAACTTGAGCCCTGGACCCTGGGCATAACCTAATTCTCCTTACTCATCTTGACAGGTTTTGTGACATTTAAGGACTTGTTTGAATAAAAACTGTCCAGTTATGTTTTATTCTATGAGGGTGTGTAAATAAAGTTTATCATGCAGTATGCAAGATATAAAGTTAATGCTTACTGTTTACAGATAGTAGGCTTTAAATGCCACTGTCCTATTTCTGAATTGCAGTTGTCATCGGCAAGGAATCCATCATCACTGCTATCATCCTATAAAAGACAGCCTGTTAGTAGTGAAGATACACAATCTAAATAACAACCTCACAAAATAGCACTATTGATGATAAAAATCTTTGTGGCCAATATGTAAATTTTTTCTATTTAATAGTCATCAGACATGAGAAAATGTGGTCACTTGATTCTAATTATCTAATGCCACAACACTGATATTTTAATGAAAAGAAACTACTGATCAGAAGGCTATGAAAAACTGTTACATCTATTTTCAATGTAAAAGAAAATTTTAAAGACTAAATATAGTATGACTGATTCTTCTTCAAATACTACTGCTCTGATTTTAGATATTTCTACAAAAATTTAGTTTGTTGGCTAAAACAACTGTTTCACAATAGGAACATGAATGACTTGTATTTACTATTCTTTTACATAAATAATTTTTTCAATCAAATATTTAAAGGGTTTTTTGAAACACCTCCTCAACAGAACCATATATGCACTTAAGAGAAGACAACTTAATGACACTGTGTCTTATTTTGTAGATTATCTTGAATGTAAAACAAGGCTTGGCTTTCCCTGTTCTTTAGAAAGTCTCTGGCAACCTTATAAATGAAATAATCAACAATAGAAATAATAGTAAAACACAGATTAGCTAGTTCATATAACTGTTACAACCAAAAGAGAGTAAGAACAGCACTCATTATAAACCTTGAATATAACCCATATATATATGCCTGTATAAGTTGCAGAGAAAAACTCTATTTCTTAGACATACATTGTACAGCAAGGGACATCACAAAAAATGGGCTTTTGTTCACTGGAGGATTGCAAAAAGGAAAAATGGGTGCAGTACAAAGCTATCTTCACTATTAGATAAACTCAAAGTTTATTCAAACTGAAGAAAGGTCAGAGATTAAAGAAATGGAATGCTGTAAGATTCTTATAAACTTTTCTTTCAATATAAAGCCCTCTTTAACTGAAGTCATAAAATATTTTCAAAAATACATTTTATTCTTGGTGTAAGTAAAATTAGAGCAAATGGAACTCTAAGGAAGAGGAGAATTTACTTATGTTAGTTTTAACTAAATATTATATGCTCCTGCCATGATACATATACATTAAACTAGAAGAAAGAAAAGACTCACTGGAAATGTGGAAAAAACAATAATTTTGCTGTGCTCAAGCACCACATAATCAAGTATCTACATTTGCCTCCTGAATAAGTTAGACCAAAGGTTAAGGTTAAGTATGACCCATAAGTGCTTTTAAAAGAGGAAGAGAAAGGAATGGCAAGGTTAGTGGGGGTAGTGGCTGGGTTTAGGTGGGAGAATCAATTTTGTATTAAAACTTTCCTGAGGTAGGTAATGTTAGTTTAATCCACGATGGCAAAAACTACAACAAAAACCCTAAAAAGAAAAATAGAACAAAACAACCCTATACAGTTATCCTGGCAACTTCTGAATTAAAAACTTAGGTTTGTGCTTTGAGATGAGACCCAAATTCAGAAGGCATGAGTTACTGGTAGAAGGAATTGCTTATAGGACTCCAAAGAAAATAAGGTAAGATATTGGAGCTTTTTGCTAAGCATTAGGTTTTACCTGGTTATCCTGATCTTCTGAGAAGTCGATGAGTTCATCTTCAAGCATTTTGCTACCTTCAGTTGATTCATCACTATAGTTTAGTCTAATTTTGCTTAAGCCATCTATAAATAAGAAACATTATATAATTTAAAAAGGACATGCACATAAATATAGTATATGATATTAAAATGCTAGTAATTAATTATATAGTAATTATGGATATAAAATCTGCATTAACATATAATTTCAAATATAACTTACTTCTAATAAAAACCTGGATTCAGTAATCAATTACAAAGTTGCTTCTACAACTGAGAATTCATTAAATTTATTCATTAAAATTTAATTCTATTAAAATTTAAAACTAGGTATCAATTATATTATAAATATATGTATATTTAAATATATACAGATATATACATGTACATATATTAAAACATTTTTGTGCTAGGTATGCCGGTTATCTTTAGTAACAGAAGCTACAATAGTCTAAAAATAACCTAATGTCCAATAATAGAAACAGTTAGCTAATTGTAGAACATAAAATGTTATACATTTTTTAAATTAAAATTACAAAATTGTGAAAATTATATAATACAGATTAAAAAAACATGATTAAAATTAAGTCAAACAGGCTTGTTTTGGGACAAATAATAAAAAGAAAAATACAAAAATGAAAATAATCATGATGTAGAACAGTAACTATGGATGAGTTTCCCAACTCTATATTTTTCCTTTTCTTAAATTTATTTTTTATTATTATTTTGAGAGAGAGAGAGAGACTGTGCATGCACAAGTGAGGAGTGGAGGGGGAGAGGGAGAGAGAGAATCTTAAGCAGGCTCCATGCCCTGCGCAGAGCCTGACATGGGGCTCGATCTCATGACCCTGAGACCATGACTTGAGCAGAAATCAAGAGTTGGACGTATAACTGACTGAGCCACTAAGGCACCCCTGTATATTTTTCCTTCATGTTTTGTTATAGTCACTGACTTCAATAAAATAAAATGAGACAAGCCAAATATAGATGCTGGTAGTATGAAATGACTCATAAAAAAAATTTGAAATTGATACTTTTAAAGGTCAGTTTCAAGAATCTAAATCTTTAAAAATAAAATATTTTGCTGGAAGATGCTAATCATACATGATGTTTCAAAGAAATATAAGGTTTACATGAAAATAATGAAAACCAAGGGACTTTAATACCAAATTTAGTTATCTGTTTATTAAAGAGTATACCTTTTCCACTTTAAAAAGTATGACGTTAAGGTATTTTAGACAGGATAAAAGTTTATTTTTGTGTAAGTTATTAAAGGGGAATTAAAAATATTAACATAAGCAAGATGGGGTGGGAAGACAGCAAAAAAGAACATGCTCCTGAAAAGAAAGATCTCTCTCTAAATGTTGTGATTGGAAACATACTATTTAAAATAAATAATAAAGCACTATGGTAAATCTTTGTATATGTAAAATAGCCTTTTCAATTTTTTTCAAAATCTCTATTTTCATGTTTCTTTGAAGCTAAAATATCTGTATTTGAATAAAATCTGTCCAAATCCTCAGGCAATTCAGAATCAATTATAATCAAGTTATTCTAGCAGCCAATTATTCATATCTACAGAAGCTGTGTAATATAAATATAAACCTTACACAATTAAATTATATGTGCATTTAGAAAAAGGGAGAAAAATAATTTAAATAGTGAAGCCAGTTATTTCATTCAGTAAATAAATATCCTGGTGTATGCTGAGAGGTGATAACTCAACTATTTTTTTAATCAGTCCCAGTTTCTGAGAGCTTCTCATACAGTGAGATCCTCTGAGGATGCCAAGTATGATTCTAGAGTTCAAAACATACACATTTTTCATGTACCATAGCAAGACAACTATTTCATATGGTGCTCAACTGAAAAACTACCAAATGAAAGTACTGATACCACACATTATTTTCCAACAGTTGGCCTTAACCTAATCTCTACGATAAGATACAATTCCCACTTATTTACTACAGCATGTTATCTGACATCAGGAGTCAACACTTGTGACTCTATGTGTTCGATAGTTAAAACTATATTAAAACTACCTAAAATGCTTTGTTTAAGGGCGCCTGGCTGGCTCAGTCAGTGAAGTGTGCAACTCTTAATCTTGGGGTTGTAAATTTGGTCCTCACGTTGGGTGTAGAGATTACTTAAAAATAAATAAAATTAATAAATAAATAAATAAAATGCTTCGTTTAAATCCTGTCAATTATATTCCCAGGCAAAACAGAAATCAATTATTGAGATAGTAATCATAATCACAGAAATTTTTATAAGCTCTTCTTATCCCAATTTTTAATATGCCATCATTTTATATAGGACAGACTACTTAACCAAGCTCTCTGAGATAGTAAAAGCACCTCAGAGTGCTTTTGGGTGAGTGATCCCTTGGAAACAACTGATGAAAACACAGACATGCAGACTCACTCTAGAGCACTAATTTTCAAACTGTGGGACACTATCATCATTGGATTAAGGCAACATCAAAAAGAACAGAAAATAATCAGTCTATCACACCCAATAAAGGTAAATTAATTTCCCTTAAGGAAGATGGAGTTGATATGGTTGCACACAAACTAAAAACAAAACAGAAACAAATACACAAACTATAGTTGGAAAAAAAAAGGATAAACAGACACTAAAAAGTCAAACTTCGTAAAACAGAGGATTTTTTACTTTGATCTCCAGTAGGATTAGTGAGGTTATTTACTTAAATTTAACTAGGTATTACTCAACTAGAACACTAATTTGAAGGAGAGGGCCATTAGAAGTTTCTGGGGTTTGTGTATATGAAGCTGTAGGCTTTGTCCCATTGCTTTAAGTCATGAACTTTAATTCATTTTTAATTTTAATTCACATTATAGTAAGAGATTACTGATCAAAGGGGAACTTTAAAGAAAAGAGTTCTATGGAAATATAACACATATCATACAATTCACCCATTTAAAGTGTATAATTCAGTTGTTTTTATATATCTGCACATATGTGCAACTATCATGAGTAAATTTTTTAAATTATTATTTTTATTTATTTTTTAAGATTTTTTATTTATTTGACAGAGAAAGCGAGAGAGGGAACACAAGCAGGGGGAGTGGGAGAGGGAGAAGCAGGCTTCCTGCAGAGCAGGGAGCCCGATGTGGGGCTTGATCCCAGGACCCTGGGATCATGACCTGAGCTGAAGGCAGATGCTTAACTACTGAGCCACCCAGGTGCCCCATTAATTATTATTTTTAAATATTTATTTGAGAGAAAGAGAGAGAGAGCGTGTGCAAGCAGGGGGAGGGACAAAGGTAGAGGGAGAGACAGTCTTTTTTTTTTTTTTTAAGATTTAATTTATTTATTTGACAGAGCGAGAGCACAAGCAGGGGGAATAGTAGAGGGAGAGGGAGAAGCAGGCTCCCTGCCAAGCGGGGAGCCCGACGCGGGGCTCAATCCCAGGACCCTGAGATCATCACCTGAGCCAAAGGCAGATGCTTAACCATCTAAGCCACCCAGGTGCCCCAAGGGAGAGAGTCTTAAGCAGACTCTGTATTGTGCACGGAGTCTGACGCCAGGCTTAATCTCATTACCTGAACCGAAACCAAGAGTCAGATGCTTACCCAACTATTCCACCCAGGCGTCCCTCATCAGAGTAGATTTTTAAACCTCATTAAGAAACCCTGTACCTTTCAGCTATTATTCGCCCCCACCTCCCCGCCCCCACACACTATTTGCCACACCACACTAGCCCTAAGCAGCCACTAATCTACTCTATAAATTTTCCTGTTCAGATTTCATACAAATGGAATTGTGTAATACGTGGTTTTTTGTGACTACTTTCACAATATTTTCAAGCCTCAGCAATGTTGTAGCATGTATCAGTATTTCATATCTTTTTACGATCTAATAATATTTCAGTGGATAGATATATCACTAATTGATTATCCATTTGTCAGCTGATGAACATTTGGGTTGCTTGTACATTTTGGCTACTATAATACTACAATGAACATTATGCCCAAGTTTTTGTGTGTTTTTATTTCTCTTGGATATATATGTAGGAGTGAAACTGCTGGGTCATATTATAACTCTACATTTAATTTTTTGAGGAGCTATCAAACTGTCTTCCAAAGAAAGCACCTGCACCATTTAACATTCCCACTAATAATATATGAGGGTTCTGGTTTCTCCACATCCTCACCAACACTTATTAGTATCTGACTTTTTGATTGTAGCCATACTAGTGTGATATGAAGAAGTATCTCATTGTGGTTTTGATTTATATTTCCCTTATGTCCATCATCTTTTCATGTGCTAACTGGCAAGACTTTGTTTTCAAGGGAATGAGAAACAATTCACACTGCCTTGAAGGCTTAGGCTTCAGAGTACCAAAATGGTAATTAATCTTTAATATGACTATTCACTGCCTCTTATTTTTTTTCTACTCAAGTATTAAAATATGAAAACTGAAAAATAATATAGGCAGCACTGGGTGATTACCTACTTTGTCTATCTGCATTCCATTTCCTGCCTAATGAAATAGACTGAAAAGTGAGTTAGAAAAGCAAATATTTATCTGTTACATGTACTTTTTTGCTGTAACTGCTAAATTTCCCCCTTCTGCTGCTTATCTTATACCTCCCAAAGGGCACAAAGATCATCACTCTAGGGCTGTCAGATTTATGCAGCTAATATGTCAAACAAATAAAAATTATTTTCATCAAACTCAACAGCTTTCTGAGTTACTAAAATAAGGTGGTAAAAGTACCAAGACTATGTTCAGCATTCTTAATTTTTTTTAAAGATTTTATTTATTCATTTTAGAGAGAGCGCGTGAGCAGGGAGGGGCAGAGGGAAAAAGAATCTGAAGAAGACTCCGCTGAGTATGGAACCTGACTTGGGGCTCGATCCCACAACCCCAAGACCATAACCCAAGCCGAAACCAAGAGTCAAACACTTAGCCAACTGAGCCACCACGGTGCGCCAGCCTTAATTTTTATAGGTTCTTTCTGAATTCACATAATTTCTTCTATGCCTTATTCTGACTTTTTTCCTTCAAAGAAAATGTAGTAGATTTATTCACAGCTTAATAAGCAAGGCACATGTCATAGCATATTATGGATCTTAAATAGATTATTTTACTTTTGAGATCGAGAGAAAATTACACAATTGATTTGATATGAAACTTAAGTACTGGAAGAGACACTTTAGATTTCTCTAACAAGTGCTAGAAATATGGAACTGATTCAAGGGAAAAAATTCAGTTCATTAGAACTGAATGGAAATAAAAAAAAGCAGAGGTTGGGTTAGCACCCTTCTTCCCACTGAAACATGAAAGAGAGTGAGGAATAAGCAACTAACCTTTCATTTGAATGTCAACAACTATTTTGGAGGAAAAGGCTTTAATTTCTGATTCTTGCTATTTGATCGCTATTTGCCCATCTGTAAATTGAGAAGAATGAACTAATTTGCCTTATAGACTGTCCAACTACTATTTGTGCCAAATACAGTAAACTGCCTATGAAATAAGAATAAATCCAAGTTGCTATAATGAAAAATGTAGACCTTGTACTACAATGTTAAAACCTTTGAGTCGTAGAAAGGCATAAGGGAATTTTTTGGAGTGATGGAAAAGTTCTAAATCTTTACTGTAGAGATTACATGACTGTACATATTTATCAAAGCTCACTGAGCTATATTATAAAATGGGTGAATGTTACTGTAAATAAGTCATATCTCGATAAATCTGACTTTAAAAAAAATATGCTCTGAAATCTTAATCCTATGTATAAAAAAATCCAATTTATTCTGAATTCCTTGATTCTTTAAGAACATTTAGAAACGTACCTGTATGGTGCATAGAACTTAAATATTCATTCTGTAGGCCATTTTCACTTTTAGTCCTATCATTAACTTTCTGGCATGGAGATTCTCCTTTATTCGATTCTTCATTTTCACTTGCAGTATGATTTATTTTTTTCAGACTACATTTCACGCTGCCTGTGTTTCTCCGATAATGAGGGTCACTTTCTTCCTGTTCGGCAGTTGAATCAATTCCAGCTACGCAATGTTTTCTGTTTAGCATCTTCTTAATTACAGGCTTGGCAGAAGAGTTTTGTGAACAACTGTCCATTTCACTGGCTGAAGGAGAAGAAATACAACTGTCCTCTACAGCTGAACATTTTTGCATGACTGTATTTTCATGGTAATGAGGATTAGGTTCATACTTTGGTTTTTCCAAACCAGGGAAACAAACAACAGCCAAAAACCAGTGTGCACTGTAAAAAACAAATGAAACTACTGAATATATTATTAGGAGAGTTTATTTGGCAATAAATATCAATTGAAATATTTTTTCTAAAGCTTCTGTCAACAGATTTCTTAAGAACGCCCAATTTTTTCAATTCTCAAATGAATCTACTTGTTTATATGATCATTAATAGAATATAATGTCTATTCAAAAACAACATAATTTTTTTAGAATTATGTAGCCTAGCCTGCATTCACTTTTGCAAACATCCTTTGAAACTTTATTGCTTTTTGAATGAAAAATTCATTCTTATTTTTAGACAATTTAAGAAAATATAAATTAGATCACTGTAATTCACCATTCTCATTAACCTTCCCCTTGACCTATTTATGTCAAAGAATAGAAAACTAGCCTCAAGACTAAAATGTTTTCAGAAGTCTAAATAGACTATAATTTTAAGCATTTTTCTAAATATTGCATATATAATATAGCTTTTAAAAAACTTTTACCCCAGGGGCGCCTGGGTGGCTCAGTCAGTTAAGCGACTGCCTTCGGCTCAGGTCATGATCCTGGAGTCCCGGGATCGAGTCCCACATCGGGCTCCCTGCTCAGCAGGGAGTCTGCTTCTCCCTCTGACCTTTCCCCCTTTCATGTCATGTGCTCTCTCTCTCTCTCTCAAATAAATAAGTAAATAAAAAGACTTAAAAGGAAGAAATAAAATATCCAATATTTAAAAAAAAAAAGCTTTAAAAAAAAAAAACTTTTACCCCATGTCTGTTTTTCTTAAGGTTAGGCATTGCTTAATGTTGAAAATATTAAATAATTCTTTGTCTTATGCTTATTGAGATGTATATACCACTAAAATGAAATAATGTATCTATTTAAGCATCATTATAAAACTTCAGTATTAGTAGAGTTCCAGCTATCAGGTGGGTGCTCCTGATACAGCTAAATTCAGGTATCATGGTTTCCAATAATAGGTTAGAAGCTCTGAGTAAAAAGCTGTACAGCTAACATTGGCTAACATTCATTAATCTAATGAGGAATTTTATTAGGGGCTTACTATCTCCTAGACAGTGTTATATGCTAGGATACAATGAACAGGCTATAGCTGTCAGAGAACTTATAGCTGAGTAGTGTTTGTCATATAATAGGGTATTCAATAGGTGTTTTTGTTTTTTTTTTAAAGATTTTTATTTATTTATTTGACAGAGAGAGAGACAGCAAGAGAGGGAACACAAGCAAGGGGAGTGGGAAAGGGAGAAGCAGGTTTCCCGCCGATCAGGGAGCCCGATGCGGGGCTTGATCCCAGGACCCTGAGATCATGACCTGAGCCGAAGGCAGTCGCTTAACCAACTGAGTCACCCAGGCGCCCCTCAGTAAGTGTTTGAGGAGCGAAAAAATGCATTAGCTTGATATGAACAAAAGTTATTCTATATTCTCTTTTACAAAATGTTAAATTCCTCCAAGGTAATATGAAGAAACACTAACTGTCTCTTCATCAGATAGCAAAAACCAAGGGTGACAGAGCCTGGCTTCATCCTCAGTATTTTTAAGGCGAGATGGAGGAATGCTTCTCTTGTTCTTTATTAACCCTCACTATCCTATGGACTTAGGTCAGGCAAGGGTAGTAGAAAGAGCAACACACCATCTTTCTCACTATACTCCAAGATTTGGCTGACTGTAAGTCACAACTCAATGTCAAAAAAAGTTACATGTGAATAAATATGTTTTAAAAATTGATTAATACGGTATAATATAGCAGTTCTCAATCTAAATGTATAACCAAAGTCTACCAGTTTTTAACATTTCTTAGCTATGACAAATACGTGTAAGGTATAAATTTTCTGTTTATACACCTAAAAACTAAGAAAAATTCTTTCTTTACCTAGCCGAAAGGAGAAACTTGAATTAGATATAACTGAGGTTATTTTCAACCTCTAAGTGACAGGATTTTGCTTTTATGATCCCTTTTAATAGCAGCTACACATTGACCTTAAACGACCAGTGAGTGAAGAGACTAAAACAAGTAATTTCACTTAAGATCGATTGGATCTAAATGTTGACATTTTTTCCTTATCAATTTTTAACAAATAGCTTATAAACTTTAAACTTTAAGAAACTACCACTACCAAGAAAATTAAAAATAAAACAGCAAAAACACAGCATCCTATCTAAAATAATTAGCAAATAGAACTATTTGTGGCTTTAGCTCTTCAAAAACAAAACAAAACAAAATGAACCCTCAGGATTTGGAGGCTATTCTTTCATCTACTAAGGGCATAGTTCTTTTGCAGAATCCTTTACTGACTCTACATCTTTGTTCATTCTCTTTCACCAAGGTAACTAGAAGGATTAATCATAGCTTTAATCCACCGCAGATACACTAAGAGGAATGTGCCTCTATTGCTAGTGTGTACCTTAAATTTTTATAATTCATTTCTGACAAATAGCTCTCTATGTGTATCTTCCCTTTCACCTAAGCAAGCAGCTCACATGTTACTCTTTATGACAAATTACTGTCAAGAAAACTTATTTTTGAGGATAATGAAGAAAACTAAGAATTAGTTTTAAACTTGGTTTTAAATTATGACACTGTTTGACTTAGATATATAGCTCTGAAGAAGTTAGGCTTTATAGCTATAACCAGTGTTTGACCTAGCCTACCTATCTTTGGCTGGGTTCATTAGAGAGCACAGGTCGTATGATTAATGTATGATTTTATTTTATTTTTATTATTTATTTATTTATTTGAGAGAGAGATTTAGAGAGAGAGTGCACGAGAGGGGGTAGGTTCAGAGGGAGAAGCAGACTCCCCGCTGAGCAGGCAGCCTGATGCAGGACTCGATACTGGGACTCCAGGATCATTACCCTAGCCGAAGGCAGTCACCCAACCAACTGAGCCAGGCGCCCTAACGTATGATTTGAAATAAATAGAATTTGATTATACTATTGAGTGAATGTGTTTTTCATAGTAAGGAAAAAAAAAAGAGCATATTCAGAAGCTAGCCTGGCACAGCTAGGCTTATTAGACATAAACAATCTTACAGAATACCAATCCCAAACTTACTCTGCAACCATGATAAACTGAGACAAAGCAAGGACATTTCTCAATTTGTCTAAGCAGAGACAAACAAGGTCACAGTGCAACCAAAAAAATGCCAAATATTCCCCTTTTTTGCTAAATGGGTAAATGCTACTTCTTTACCCAAGCAAACAACTGCTTCCTTACATCTTCCCCCAATGACCAAACCAAAGCCCAAATTCTATTACAGGTGCTTTCAAACACACTTTTACTGAGAGGCTCCATGGTTGCCCATGGTGTGTGTTCTCCCTTGATATTAAGTAATAAACCCAAGTTGTCCAACTGCAGGTGTATTCCCAGGAGTTTTTGGCTGGAAGGCATAGGAAAACAGAAAAATGAAATATAAAATCTCTCAAGTCTAAACTGTATAATACTATCCTACACATCAATGCCTCTCTAGTCACTGTGGGAGAACACAAAATATTTACCACCTCCATTTACCTAGAAAATAGCTTAAAGTAGTCAGCATGGTTTTCGAGTATATGACATAAATCTAGCCATCTTTTCTTCTTTTGGTTAAGAGCCAAAGTGTTTTCTAAAGATTCAAAATCTATGTGACCTAGTCATCATTCTGTATAAAGAAGTCTGTTCTGTAGGATGTTTGGTAGACTATAGCACCACTCTTAAAAAATGACATTATTCTCTACTGATGAGTAAAACAAAATTAGAAAGATCTCTTGCTAGTGTTTATAAAATTCAACATCTTACATGATTCACTAAAAACTGTTATCAATTTTCATAAAATAAGCAGCATGTAGACATATTCAACAAATTTCAGAAAGAAGTTTAAAAATGAATGAATTCTTCAACTCATAAACACATTTTCTAAAAATAACCTTCACATTTACATAAAGAAAATTATTACTCACGCTTCATTAAGGGGTACAAAAATAAAATCCTTCTCAAAAATATCTACATGCCGGGTCCATGTTTTTACTCTCCCATGTCGCTTTTGCTGTATTCTATAAGAAAAGAGATAAACTATCACTTTCTGAAATGTTTCTTCTAGTGCTTCAGCTTATATGCAGCCATTTATACATTATAAAGACTAAGATGTTAACAAATAAAACAGTAGTATAAGATGATTTAACAAGTTGGGGAAAGAAAATAGATCATCTCAGATGGAGCTAGGAAGGTGTGAAACTGCCCATCACTGAATCTGCAAGAAAGAATTATTTAGTTCCTGCTACTACTTACTAAGTGAACCAGTGCTACTATTTTTATTACTGCATATTAGCAACTATATTGAGAAATGTATCAGACCATGACCTATAATGACTGAGGAGAAGACAGCAGGAAAAATGAGCATTACAAAAGATGAAATAAAATAGACTATGAACATTAGTCAAACCAATCACTACCATCAACTCCAAGATGTAAAATTAGGAATCACTGAAACAGTATAAAATATTATTTATACTGGGGCGCCTGGGTGGCTCAGTCGTTAAGCATCTGCCTTCGGCTCAGGTCATGATCCCAGGGTCTTGGGATCGAGCCCCGCATCAGGCTCCCTGCTCGATGGGAAGCCTGCTTCTCCCTCTCCCACTCCCCCTGCTTGTGCTCCCTCTCTTGCTGTGTCTCTGTCAAATAAATAAAATCTTAAAAATATATATATTATTATTTATATTATGCACAATAGCCATCAATTCAAGACAACTGACAGCCCTTACGGCATTCTGTATGTATCTTCTGACCAATTATCAGCGCAAATTAGGGCTGGATGCAATCACTATATGGAGCGGAATTAAAAATAAACTGATTGAAGCCTAATATGCAGAACAGTATTTCTTTACTTGTTGGAGCAGAATTATCCAAAGAACTTATTAAAAGTACAGAGTCATAGGTTCCTCTCTTAAGTATTAGGAATAGAACATCTAGGGTAAAACAGAGCAATCTGTACTTAATAAGTAGCCAAGTAATTTTTTTTTTTAATTGTCAGGCACATTTTGGGGAATACTGATTTAGGTATTGGACCAAAAACCTTTATGAATTTCAGATATTCTTGAGGCTTTAGAGTATTATGAATTATATTAATTTTGCTAACTGACAATAGAATTACAAGATGTTACCTCAATACAAGTACATTTTTTATTAAATTAAACTTGAGTGACTTACTACATTTGTTAAATACTTTCAGAGCTTGACTTACGATAGATTAGTTGTTTCGTGAAGATTTCTTCTTTCTCTCTGATTAAGGCGTTTATAGAAAAAAGAACTGAATATATGAATTCGGTCAGCTTCTTCTTTCTTCAGTTTTTCAAGCACCAAATATCTATTTTATAAAAAAAATCCAAATACAATGAATTTAACAATTTATACTAAAAACAGTCAGTGATCAAATATCTATTTAGCCAACATCAACCTTTCTTACACCTGAAAGACTTTATTAGCAAGATTTACTTCATATTCCAGGCAATGGTAACTAATAGATTATTTTCAATGAATGAAAAGTGATGTTTGAGAGTAAAACTATGATTTGCAAGATCTAATCTTGAAGACTCAAATAAATAAAATAAAATAAATGAAGGAGAAATAAAAACCAGAGAAATACAGAAAATTATAAGAGAATATTATGAAAAATTATATGTCAACAAATTAGACAACCTAGAAATATATAACCTTCCAAAACTGAAGCAAGAAGAAATAGAAAATTAGAACAGACTGACTACCAGGAATAAAATTGAATCAGTAATCAAAAAACTCCCAATAAATAAACATCTGGGACTGGATGGCTTCACTGGTGAATTCTTCTAAAACTTTAAAGAAAAGTTGGTAACTGTTCTACTCAAACTGTTTCAAAAAATAGAAGAGAAAGTAAAGCTTCCAAATTCATTCTACAAAGTCAGCATTACCCTGATACCAAAACCAGATAAAAACACTACAAAAAAACCCCAGAACTATGGGCCAGTACCTCTAATGAACATAGATGCAAAAGTCCTCAACAAAATATTTACAAACCAAATACAATGATACATTAAAAAAAAATCATTCGTCATGATCAATTTGGATTTATTCCTGGGATACAAGGGTGGTTTAATATTCACAAATCAATCAACATGATACATCACATTAACAAGGGAAAGGATAAAAACCAGATGATGTCAATAGTTGCAGAAAAAACACAGGACAAAGTACAACATCCACTCATGACAAAAACTCTCAACAAAGTTTAGAGGGAACATACCTCAACATAATAAAGGCCATTTATGAAAAACCCACAGTTAACATCATATTCAATGGTGAAAACATTAACTTTTCCTCTAAGATCAGGAACAGAACAAGGATGGTCACTCTCAAAACTTTTATTTAATATAGTACTAGAAGTCCTACCCACAGCAATCAGACAAGAAAAAGAATTAAAAAGCAGCCACATTAGTAAGGAAGAAGTAAAACTTTCACAATTTGCAGATGACATGATACTATATACAAACTCTAAAGACTCCACCAGAAAGGGTCACTCAGTGGTTCAGTTGGTTAAGTGTCCAACTCTTGATTTTGGCTCAGGTCATGATCTCAGAGTCATGAGATTGAGCCCACATCGGGCTCTGTGCTGGGCATGGAGCCTGCTTAAGATTCTCTCTCCCTGTAGCCCCCCCCCCCTTCTTCCTCCATCCCTAAGAAAGAAAAAAATGACTACCAAAAAAACTACTAGAACTGATAAATGAATTCAGTAAAGTCACAGGAACGAGTATAACCTACAGAAATCTGTTGATTATACACTAATAATGATGTAGGAGAAAGAAAAATTAATAAATTACCTAGGAATATCTTTAACCAAAGAAATGAAAGAAGCATACTCTGAAAGCTATATAACACTGATGAAAGAAACTGAAGATGATGCAAACAAATGGATACTCCATGCTCATGGATTGGGAGAACCAATACTGTTAAATGTCTATACTACCCAAAGCAATCTACAGATTTAATACAATCCCTATCAAAACACCAACATTTTTTACAGAATTAGAACAAATAATATTAAAATTTGTATGGAACCACAAAAGACCCAGAACAGCAATCTTAAGAAAGAGGAACAAAGTTGGAGGTAACACAATCTCAAATTCAAGAAATACTACAAAGTGGTAGTAATCAAAACAGTATGGCACTGGCACAAAAATTAACACATGGATCAATGGAACAGAACAGAGAGCCCAGAAATAAACCCACACTTATATAGTCAATCTACAATAAAGGAAGCAAGAATATACAATAGGAAAAAGAGTCTTTTCAACAAAGGATGTTAGGAAAACTGGACGGCTACATGCAAAAGTATAAAACTGGACCACTTTCTTATACTACACACAAAAATAAACTCAAAATAGATTAAAGATCTAAATGTGAGACCTGAAACCATATAAATCCTAAAAGAAAGCATAAGCAGTAATTTCTCTGACCAGCATAGAAACATTTTCTAGATATGACTCTTCAGGCAAGGGAAACAAAAGTAAAATTAAACTACTGGGACTACACCAAAATAAAAAGTGAAGGAAACCAACAAAATAAAAAAGCAACCTACTAAATGGGAGAAGATATCATATCTGCAAATGATATATCCAATAAGGGGTTAATATCCAAAATATATAAAGAACTAGTACAACTCAACATGAAAAAGAAAAAGAAAACAACAACAACCAAATCAATTAACAATGGGCAGAAGACATGAATGGACATTTTCCCAAAGGCATACAGATGGCCAAGAGACACATGAAAAGATGTTCAACATCATTAATCACCGGCAAAATGCAAATCAAAAACCACAAAAATACCTGACAGAATGATAAAATAAAAAACACAAGAAATAACAAGTATTGGTGAAAATGCAGAGGAAAAAGGAACCTTCATGTACTGTTGGTGAGAATGCAAGCTGGTGCAGCCACTGTGGAAGAACAGTAGGAAGTGCCTCAAAAATTAAAAATAGAATGAATACTCTGTGATCCAGTAATTCCACTACTGGGTATTTATCCAAAGAGAATGAAAACACCAATTTGAAAAGACATATGCACCCCTATGTTTATCACAGCATTAACTACAATAGCAAAGAGGTGGAAGCAATCCAAATGTTTATCCATATATGAATGGATAAAAATGTGGTGTGTACACACACACACACACACACACACACACACACACACACACACACTGGATTATTACTGAGCCATCAAAAAGAATGAGATCTTGCCATTTGCAACAAGATGGGTGGACCTAGAGGATATATGCTAAGTAAAATAAGTCAGAGAAAGACAAATACCATGTGATTTCACTCATGTGTGGCATTTAAGAAACAAGACAAACAATGAAAAAAAGAGACAACCCCCCTCCCGGACTGTTAAAAACAGAGAACTGGTGGTTGCCAGAGAAGTGGGTGGGGGGATAGATGAACTAGATAATCGGGATTAAGAGTACATTTATCTTGATGAGCACTGAGTAATGTATAGAACTGTTGAACCATTGTACCATTATACACCTGAAACTAATACTGTACGTTAAGAAAAAAAAAGTCACTGTGAAAAAAAGTTTGTTTCCTACTTGTAGAGTTAGAAATGGAAAAGAACGAGCAGTTCTGGTAGCAGCTGAATTACATATTTTAATATAGTGAAGTTTAAGAAAAAAGTTTCTTTTTAATTAACTTCTAAGCATGTCATGAGATATAAACAGATTTTTATTTTTTTAAAGATTTATTTATTTTAGAGAGAGAAAGCGCTAAAGTGCAAGTAGGGGTAGGGGCAGAGAGAGAAAGAGAGAGAGAGAATCCTTAAGCAGACTGAGTGGGGCGTGTGATGTGGGGCTCGATTTCAGGACCCTGAGATCATGACCTGAGTGAAATCAAGAGTCGGATGCTCAACCAACTGAGCCATCCAGGTACCCCATAAACAGATTTTTTAAAAACCATGGATTTAAAAAAAATAAAATAAAATAAAAATAAAAAAATAAAAACCATGGATTTTGTTAGATTTCCTTTTTCATTTGGAATACTGATTTGCATCAGAAAAGGCAGAGCTTTTACATAATGTAACTTTAAAGTAGTTTTAAAGTGCTACTATAAAATGTTAAGGGGCCTCCTGAAAATGTAAAGAATTTCAAGAGTATACACAGATAAAGAATTTCAAGAGTATACAAAAATACTATAAAATCTCTATCACAGTGTAAAAAGTAAAGATTTAAGTATGAAATATAATAAGCTACAATGTAAACAAAACACAGCATTCAACTGATTTTTCAGATCCAACTATATGCTTTTAAAACCAAAAACTATTTTAAACAAAAAAATTAAATAAATTAAAAGTAAAGGTATGAAAAATACATACCATGCAAACAAAAACCAACAGAAAGCTGGAGTAACTATATTCATTTTGAACAAAGTAGGCTTAAGAACAAGGGCATTATCAAGGATATAGAGGGACATTACAAATGACAAAGGGTTGATTCTCCAAGAAACATAAACTTGTATGCACCTAACAACAAATATCCAAAATACATAAGGCAAAAATGAATTTGAAGGGAAAAATAGACAAATCCATTATTATACTTGGAGATCCAAGTGTATATATACATACACACACATACTTGGTATATATATAACCTTCTCAATAACTGATAAAACAAGCAGGCATAAAATCAGTAAGGACAAAGATGACCCAAAGAGCACTACCAAACAACTTGACCAAATTGACGTTCACAGAACAACACTTCATCCAACAACATTGGTACTGTTTTGCACACTCAAGACTTTTCGCTTGGTTTCTTAAGGTAGTATACATTAGAATTAACAGATAATCTTTTTAAAAAATTATGATAAAAATGAATAACAGCGAATTTACAATCTTAACCATTTTTTAAAAAGATTTTATTTTTAAATTAATCTCTACACCCAAAGTGGGGCTCAAACCCACAACCCTGAGGCCAAGACTCATGCTCCACTGACTGGGACAGCCAGGCACTCCCAATCTTAAACATCTTTTGAAAAAATATTTTTAATCTTTACTACCAATGTGGCGCTCGAACTCACAACCCCAAGATCAAGAGTTGCATGCTCCACCACCTGAGCCAGTGAGGAGCCCCCCAATCTTAACCATTTTTAAAAGTGTACCGTTCAATAGTGTTAAGTATACTCACATGGTTGTGAAACAGATCTCCAGAACTTCATCTTGCAAAACAGAAACTCTATACTCATTAAACAATTCCTTTTCCCCCCCACCCTTCAGCTTTTGATAACCACCATTTATTTTCTTTTCTATGAATATGACTATTTCAGACACCTAATATAAGTGGAGTCATACAGTACTTGTTTTTGTGACTGGCTTATTTCACTTTGCATAATGTCTTCCAGATTCATCCATGTTGTAGCATGTGACAGATTTCCTTTCTTTTTAAAACTGAGTAATATTCCACTGTATCTATATACCACATTTTGTTTATCCACTCCTCCATCAATGGACATGTGAGTTGCTTCCACCTCTTGGCTACTACGAGCATGGATGTGCAAGTATCTCTTTGAGACCATACTTTTCAATTCTTTTGGATATATACCCAGAAGTAGGATTGCTGGATCACAGGGTAGTTCTATTTTTAATTTTTGAGGAGCCACTATACTGTTTCCCTTAGTGGCTGTACCATTTTACATTCCCACCAGCAGTGCACAAAGGAATCCAATTTACCCACATTCTCAGCAACACTTATATTTTTTTCCTGCTTTTTTTTGATAGTAGCCATCCAAAGGGTGATAACTTTTTGTGCGTTTAACTTGTATTTCCCTGATGAATAATACTGAAAATTCTTTCATACACTTGTTGGCCATTTGTAGGAGATAACATCTTTTGTCTTAGCTATGAAGAACTTTGAACTCATTTTTTTTTTCTTTAAACTCATTCTTGAATGTGTTTGTTAGGTCTCAGAGGAGTCTAACATCTGCAAAGTTAAGCATTTAAAATCTAGGGCAGTTTCTCTTGCTAGCAAATCTATGATACATTTTATAATTCACTGAAACATATTCCATTACTATCAAATCTTAAAAAGGAAAAATAATACCTCTGAAAATAGGATATAGTTAACATAAACAGAATATAAAATTACCCCTGACGTGAAGTATATCCTGTTGGTTGAAGATGTTGACCTTGTCGATTTTGTTTAGTTGTTCTAAAAATTGTTGAGAGAGGGAAATTGAAGTCTCCAGCTGTATTTGTGGATTTGTCTGTTTCTCTTTTTAGATCAGTTCGTTTTTTTTCACATATTGTGTAACTCTGTTGTATGGTACATACCCATTTAGGATTGCTAAGTCTTCTTGGTGAATTCACTTATTGTATAGTGTCCCTCTCTAGTCCCAGTAATTGTTTTTGTTTTTATTTTTCTAATAATATAGTTAACTCTTGCTTTAATATTTGCTCAGTATCTTTTACTATCCTTTATTTTCAACTTACATATATTATTATCTTTGAAGACAGGACATAGTTGAGCTATGGTATTTAATTAGTCCACTACTCTGCCAATCTCGGTCTTCTAATTGACATATAAATAGTGCATTTAAATTGAATGTAATTAGGGTTGCCTGGGGGGCTCAGTCAGTTCAGCGTCTGACTCTTGATTTAGGCTCAGGGCATTATCTCAGGGTCGTGAGATGGAGCTCTACCTTGGGCTCCGTGCTCAGTGGGGAGTTCACTTAAGAGTCTCTTTTTCCCTCTCCCTCTCTCCTTGCCCCTCCCCACCTCAAATACATAAATAAATCTTAAAACAAACAAACAAACAAAGAAACAAACAAACAGGGGTGCCTGGGTGGCTCAGACGGTTAAGCGTCTGCCTTTGGCTCAGGTCATGATCCCAGGGTCCTGGGATTGAGCCCCGCATTGGGCTCCCTGCTCAGTGGAGAGCCTGCTTCTCCTCCTCCCTCTGCTTCTCCCCCTGCTCATGTTCTCTCTATCTCTGTGTCTCAAATGAATAAATAAAAAAACTAAAGTAAATAAAATAAATAAATAGATAGGATGTAGTTGGTGATATGTTCTATCTTCTAGGTCACGGATTCTTTCCTCTGTCCTCTCCATTTTGCTGTTGAGCTTATAAAAGCTTTTATTTGTTATTACAATTTTAGTTCTAAAATTTCCGTTTTTCTTGTTTGTATCCATTTTTTTCATAAGTTTCAAATATGTTCACAATTTTTCCCTGAAGAATTTTTATAATGGATGCTTTAAAATCTGTCATAATTCTAATTCTAATAATTCTAATATCTGTGCCATCTTGGTGTTGACTATCTATTTACATTATATTTTCTCATTCCATTTGAGATCTCTGCTTGTTGGTGAAAGAAGTAATTTTCAATTGAAATATGGGCATTTTGAGTATTATGTTAAAAGATTCTAGATCTTATTTAATTCTTGTGCTTTAGGAGGCCTCCCCGGTACCACCTTCAGTGGATACACTGATAGTTGTTTTGTTTCATATACACACTTTATACCACAAACCAGTAAACACATACAAATTTATACATGTATAAACACACTGCACATACATGTATATGCATGTGTATACTGGGTCATGATGTAAGCTCTTCCAGGAAAGCTTCTTGGTTCCTTATATTTCCCAACCCCCAAAGAGAATGAAGCATTCTTTTACTGCTGCATCCATACCACGTTAATACTTCTGTCAATGCTTTAATCCCGTATTTGTGTTTCCCTACAAGACCATAAACTTCTAACACAGTACGTGGCACATAGCTAGCACTTGATGAATATCAAGTAAGAACATACTTTTGTGCTTGCTCAACAGTTTATTACCTAAACTAGAGTAATAACAATTTTTTAAAGGCTTAAAACAGTATAACATAACAATATAATAAGCTAGCATTTATGAACATGCTGCATGTGCCAAGTATTTTCCTAATGCTTGGCATGTATTATTTAATTCTCATAGCCTTTTAGATGTTATTATTCTTCTCACTTTTTAAATGAGAAAACACAGGTAGAGACATTAATTTCCCAAATGTCACACAATAAGTGGCAGTGATGGAATTCAAAACCCAAACAGTTCTGATTCTAGAAAACAAAGATATATGTTATAGAATGTCAAAGATAGTTAAAAGAAAGCAGAAAATTAACTTACTTCAAATAAAAGTCTATAATAACATCATTTAAAAATTCTCCTTCACTTAGACAGTGCAGATCCTCATTAGTAACGGAGATGCCTCCCTTAGCCGGAGGTGGTGGATATACTATCAATCTGTAACAAAATAAAATGAACAAATTAAAAAAAAAAAAAAAACACAAGCAAATGAACAAATATATACGTGTGTATATGTATGTAACTGAAATGTAATAAAACAGAAAACAAATTTAAGAGCATTGCAAATGTAAATGAATATTCTCACTTTTCCACAGGGCCCATGAAGATGGTATGATTCTCTCCAGTTTCTTCATCATCATCAAAAAATTGAAATTCTTGCTTGTTTTTAAGTTGTATTTTAGATTCAAGAGACACCTGGTAAAGGATATTATCAGTTTACAAAATCAATTGGGAAATTTTTCAATAAAAAAGCAAGCACAAGGCAAGAATACCTTACAATTTAAAAAATTTTTAAATAAGAAAAAGTATACATGATTTTTAACAATTAAAAATAAGAAACAGGCAAAACTAGGGCCCACATTCTCTGTATGTATAGTTTCTAGAGCAGTGATACTCTTCCAATTTTTGTAACAATGGTTTTCTGGTATCTTGCCTACGACCTCTATCATCCTTATTAAATTAGATTATATTTGTAAATCCAAAGAACAGATATAATGGTTTTTGATTCTGGGAGTGGAGTCCTACCTAAGTTCAATGACTAGGCAATCCACGGGATATGGGAGCAGAGGCTCAGGGAACACAGTCCAAAGAGCTTCAGTTCCCCAGAATGAAGAAGTCCTTAAAGAAAGAGCCTTGCATTGAAATTTTATTCTATCACACCTGCCTTATCGCTTCAGTTGCTCTTTTCTTCCTCATTTATAATCTCTTGTAGCAAGTTCTGCAAAAGAAAGGGAATGGTTCCCCTTTCTTCTGTTCTTTTTGTCAACCCGCTAACTTTGTGAATAGCTCTTCTCTGTGAGACCTCACTCGGCTTCACCAAAATTGTGCCTTGGATAGCCCTATTTCCAAATTGTAGGCAGGTTGAAAGATTTTAAGTATTTCTAATAAATTAAGTAGGTAAAATTCAGTTGCAGGGTTAGGGGACAAATTTGTGTTATCTAACATTGTACTATGTGTTATAAGAATATACAGCTCTTGGTTCAGGTGGCTTCAGAGTTACCCACTATATGATTAGTTATTCCAGAACTGGATACATATGTTGATAGACACACTCAAATGGCATGTATTGTTTCCTAAGTTTTCAACCATGTATGTACACGTTACTTATAAATGTACATCATGGACCAAAATTCCTTTATCTGTATTGAAGCCAATGGCATCACTGGGAACCACTAGCAAATTTAAGAGTAACAATCAATTTGGGGGCTCCTGGGTGGCTCAGTCGGTTAAGCATCTGCCTTCGGCTCAGGTCATGATTCCAGGGTCCTGGGATTGAGTCCCACATTGGGCTCCCTGCTTGGTGGGGAGCCTCCTTCTCCCTCTCCCTCCGACTGCCACTACCCCTGCTTGTGTGCTTGCTCTCTGTCAAAATAAATAAAATCTTAAAAAAAAAAAGAAGAGTAACAATCAGTTTGAATGTAGCAGTATATGAACATGTATGTTCAGAGCGGGGCAGGGGAAGGATGAAAGAAAAAGAAAAGATGAAAAGATAAGAATACAGTGTGGAAAGGAACTAAAACTGCTTCTGAGACCTATATCAAGTACTATTTATGTCACAAGTCACCTACCCGCCATTAATGTTTTGCCACAAGATAGTTTACAAATCACATATAAAAGCAAATAATTCTGAAATGGAATTAAAAAGATCTAACTCCAAAATGAGCAGTACAATGAAACATATTTCGCTTTAAAGCTACCCATTATTTAAAAAACTTAAAAACATAATTACATTTTTAATTTTGTTTTCCTTTTGCACACAACTTCCTTTGATGCTTTCTTCATATGTTCTTGTACAGGCAACAAGTCTGCTATTGGCTTCTTCAAAGGGGATTTTTGCAAAAAAATTGGACACATTATTCTTTATGCCAATGTCAGTAATGATACTTTCAAATACCATATTTGCCTGAGGATCAAGGCCATTTTGAAAAATTAAAATTATGTATTGTTCTTCCAAATCTGAAAAGAAATCAATATAACTTTAAGTATAAAAGAAAAAAAATAGGCAAATAGATATCAGAAAAGAGTAACAACTAGTTCTTTCCAAGGATATCACCAGAAATCTGGTGTAAATGTTCAAAATACTGTCTGGTATACAGTGGATATATAATAAATACTGGAATAAAGACCAGTGACAGTGTCACCTAAAAGTTATTAAGAAAAAGGAACCAGAATACATTACCCTAGAAGCAAGCTTAAGAACAAATCTATTCGTGGATGTAACTAATCTATTTCATCTCATAGAATCCGTATATAATTTTAAGTATATTTCAATTAACATTTTTGTCAAAAACAAATTAAGAAACTGCCAGGTGAACTATTATTAATATCTCTAGAGAATTTAACTGCAAAAACTGCTATTCACTAATGTGCCGATTCTTGCGGCTTTAACAGTAGCTATCATTTATTCATCATTAAGCTAAAGCAATTACTGCTGAAAAGTATTTACTTTACAATTAGTCATGCTATATCATAAATGTTAGAGGTGAAGGGAAACAAATTAGAGAACTACATCTATAATTGTAGAGGTTGAAGACTTATTCTATGAGCCAGCAAACTTCCTATTCAGGCTGTTTCAAGGATTCCAAAATTATATGGTTGATTTACACTTAGCACTCCCACCAGTGCATTACAAAATTTTCATTTTACTCAGATTATAGTGTTAAAATAAGGAGTTGCAAACCTTTTTTGAGTTTTAACACATTTTGAAAACTTTCTAAATGGGGAAACCTGGGTTTCATCTTTAGAAATTCCACTTTCTGTGGGCTTTTCTCCTCATTTATAACATGGGAATTATATTACATAATATATATGTGTGTGTGTATATATATAAATACACATAATTATATATCTTACAAGATCACTGTAAGGATTATAGATAATACACATCTAAGGCATCTATTAAGGCACATTCACACTCTGCTATGCAATGCACTGTATGTATTATTATAATGTGTTCTACAAAACTTACTTTTTAATTTATTTGTTCCCTTAGAATCATTCCAAACTTTATCCTCCATATTCATTTGCAGCTGCATGCTCAGCTTTTGATAAACTGCTGGTATTGTCTGAAGAAACACGACTGGCAATTTTCGGACATTACACCATTCACATTTAGTTAGATCAGAGGTATTTAAAGTAATCCCTACAGGATCATTTTCTGGTTCTGGGGGAGAATAAATGGAATTAGAAAAGGAATCAATTCTTAAAATCATGAATGGAGGAAACTATGAGGAAATACAAGTTTAAAGTTAACCACATATTTGCTACGCTCTAAAAATATTAAGTGTAGTGGGAAATGAAAAATGTAACTATCTTAAAGAAACTTCTAGATTTTTTCCAAATGAAGGGGTTTCTAATGAAGTATAGTTAGAAAATTAAACATAGGTTTTATGATGTTACAGAATGAAATTACACTATTAAGATACATGCCCTTTAAGAAGATATATGTAATAACTAATCATCTTCATGAACTCCATGAATATATTTAATATTTTATTCCTGTGAAGTGTTTTATTGTAAAGAAAGCTTTAGTGAGTAAAAAGACATAAAAAAGCTTACCTTCTAGCTGTATCTTGATAAAATCTAAACAAAACTAAAAAATAAGATAAATTAGTACCAATCACAGTCTTACGAAGATTTTGCTACAAATACCCTAAATGACACATTGAGACTTAGACTACAGAGGGCAGAAAAACGAAACCATCTACCATGTACTTAAATATGAGATATCCCCCCACTTCAAATTATCTTTCAGAAAGGCAAGCTTCACCTTTTTATTCAAGCACTTAGAACATTTTTTTTTTTTAAAGATTTTATTTATTTGACAGAGAGAGAGAGAGAGAGAGACAGCGAAAGAGGGAACACAAACAGGGGGAGTGGGAGAGGGAGAAGCAGGCTTCCCACAGAGCAGGGAGACCAATGTGGTGCTCGATCCCACCTGAGATCATGACCTGAGCCGAAGGCAGATGCTTAATGACTGAGCCACCCAGGCACCCCATTTAGAACATTTCCTATATTACAGGTTTATTTCTTAGAACTTCAAAGAAACATTGACCAAATATTACAATGAAATCCTGAATACTCCTTACCTAGATTCACCAACTGTTAAAAATTTTGCCACACCTACTCCCCATCACTCTATGTACATACACATCTCCTTTTTGCTAAACCAGCATAAAACAAGCAGAGGGCATCATGATATTCCATCCCTAAATCTTTCCTTCAGGATACATCTCTCAAGAACAAAGACATTCTCTTACACAACCAAAAGAGCATTACCATATCTAAGAAGATCATGATTAACTCCATCCAATATATACTTCTTACTCAAACTTTCCCAATTATTCAAAATTGTTCTTTATTGTGCTTTAAGATTGTATTTATTTATTTGACAGAGCGAGAGAGAGCACAAGCCGGGGGAGCAGGAGAGGGAAAAGCAGGCTCCCCGCTGAGCAGGGTGCCCAACGTGGGGCTGGATCCCAGGACCCTGGGATCATGACCTATGTCGAAGGTAGATGCTTAACTGACTGAGCCACTGAGGTGCCCCTTTTATTGTGCTCCAATGCATGATTCTGTCAAGGTTACATTTGTCTTTTTTGTCTACCCCAGTCAGGACCAGAAATTTGCCCCCTTCTGTTCTTCATGACATGACCATTGAAGAATCCAGGCTAGGTTCTGCAAAACAGACAACATCTTGAACTCGTGTTGCCTCATTTTAAAATTCAGGCCACACATTTCCAGCAAATATAGCATACAGGTGATGTTTTGTACCTCCTACTATATCATACTTGAAGGCACATGATGTCAGGCTGTCCCATTACTGATACAAGCTTAATCACTTGGCAAAGGCAATGTGCCAGGTCTTTCCGCTGTTAAGATACATTTTACCCTTAGTAATTAAATAGTAATCTGTAGAGAGATACTTGAAAGCTTGTGAATATCCTGTTCCCTAATAACCTTTCTGCTAATGGCTTTAGCATCCAATGAAGATCTTGTCTCAATCAGTTATTACTGGTAGTTATAAAAGGTGATTTTCTTTCTTTCCTTTTTTTTTTTTAAAGATTTTATTTATTTATTTGACAGAGAGAGACACAGCGAGAGAGGGAACACAAGCAGGGGGAGTGGGAGAGGGAGAAGCAGGCTTCCCACAGAGCAGGGAGCCCAATGTTGGGTCCGATCCCAGGACCCCGGAATCATAACCTGAGCCGAAGGTAGATGCTTAACGACTAAGCCACCCAGGCGCCCCTGAAAGGTGATTTTCTAACTAAATTCTTTTAACATAGAGAAGACATATTAATATTAAACCCACTATATCCTGAATTAATACTCACTTTGTGTGTTACATTAGGAGAATGAAAAACGTAGACAAGAATTTCAAAATGCATTTAAAAATAAACTGGAGGCCATTTGCAATGACGTGGATGGAGCCAGAGCATATTATGCTATGTGAAATAAGTCAAGAGAAAGATAAATACCATCTGACTCATTCATGTGGAATTTAAGAAGAAAAGAGAAGAACATATGGGAAGGGGGAAAAGAAAGAAAAGGAGAGAGAAACAAACCATAAGAAACTTTTTTTTTTGAGAGGGAGAAAGAGAGGGGGAAGAGAGGCAGAAGGAAGAGAGAAAGAATTTTAGGAATCTTAAGCCGGCTCCACATCCAGCTTGGAGCCTGACACCAGGCTCGATCTCACAACCCTGAGATCATGACCTGAGATGAAATCTGGAGTTGGACACTTAACCAACTGAGCCAGCCAGGTGCCCCCAAACCACAGACTTTTTTTCTTTTAAGATTTTATTTATTTGAGAGAGAGAGCATGAGGGGAGGGAGGAGAGGAGGGAGAGAGAGAAACACATTCCCCGCTGAGCAGGGAGCCCAACAATGGGGCTTGATCCCAGGACCCCGGGATCATGACCCCAGCTGAAGGCACACGCTTAATCTACTGAGCCAACCCGGCACCCCACCACAAGAGACTCTTAACAATAGAGAACAAACTGAGTATCGATGGAGGGAGGTGGGTGGGGAGATGAGCTAGATGGGAGATGGGTATTAAAGAGGGCTTCTGATGAGCACTGGGTGTTGTATGTAAGTGATGAATCACTGAACTCCACTCCAGAAACTAGTATTACACTATATGGTCACTAAAATTTTAAAAATTAATTAATTGGACATTCTAGACTTTGGACATAATTCGCCTGGCTCACTCAGTAGAGCATACAACTCTTGGATCTCAGGATTTTGAGTTCAAGACCTGGATTGGGTGTGGAACCTACTTAAAAATAAGTTGGACTGATATATAGAAAGATGAACAGATACATGAAAAGCAAGTTTAGTAAAATGCTAATGGCAGAATCTAGCTGGGAGTTTTAGAAGTGTTCACTGTAAAATTATTTCAACTCTTCTGTTTAAAAATTTCACAATGTAGAAAAAGGAAGCAAAGAAATATAAAATAAATTTAGTAATTATTACAACACCTGCAAAGTCTAGCATGTCACAAAACATATCTTCTAAAAACTGAAGGTAATATGCTAAATTGTTAGATGACTCAAAAAGTAGCAATAAGGATGACATAAACACCAAAATGGAAACATTTAAATAACACTGTCATATGAGATATAAAAATAGAAGCATGTCTAAGAATCTGTCATTTAAAAATTTATGTGTAACTAAATTACAAGTAGACACTGGGCTATTTCACCATCATCTCCAAGAGTTTCTAAATTTAAGTTAGTTTCATATCTTCTCAATTTTCTCACTGGAAAAATGAGGAACTGCATTATATTTGGGTATATATGGTATTCCTAACAATGTAAGCCATTTTCCTGTAAAATAAAAGTATTTACTTTTAAAGGCACTACTTTTAAATAAAATTGGCTGGCTCACTTGGTAGAGTATGTGATTCTTGATCTCAGGGTCAGAAGTTCAGCCCATGATGGTGTAGAGAGCTTACTTAAGAATAACCTAACCTAACCTAACCTAAAATAAAAGGTGTGCCTGGGTGGCTTAGTCAGTTAAGTGCCTGCCTTTGACTCAGGTCATGATCCTAGAGTCCTGGAATCGAGCCCTGCATCAGGCTCCTTGTTCAGTGGGGACTCTGCTTCTCCCTCTCCCTCTGCCCCTTCTTCTCCCCCTGCTTATCCTCTTTCTCTCTCAAATAAATAAATCCTTAAAAAAAAAAAAGATTAAAAATAAAATAAAAAGATTTAAAATTGGCACTTCCAGATAGTACCAATTCTTGCAATGAATGAATTTAAAATAATTAAATTACCCAATAATAAATGAGATTTGATAAAGTACATAAAACAGTAAAACATTTAAAATTGGTTTGAGATTAATGATGACATGGCAGATAAATTATTTCACTACAAAACATAAGGAAGTTATATTCAAGAAGAAAATGTCAAATCATCTTTTATTTAAAAAAAACATTTTTAGAGCAAGAGAGAGAAAGAGAGGGGTGGGAGGAGGGAGGGGGAAGAGAGAGAATTCCAAGCAGCTTCCATTCCCAGCTCGAAGCTTGACGCAGGGCTCAATCCCATGACCCTGAGATCATGACCTGAGCCAAAATCAAGAGTTGATGCTTAAGTGGCTAAGCTACCCAGGTGCCCCAAATCATCTTTATTTTTAATACATTATCTGAAGAAATTGCAGATTAATTATACCTCATCAAAGAACATTCTCTTGAAAAATCCCATGGTACAGGGAAAGTTAATACCATAGATTACAAAATTCCACATTATAAACACAACTACTTATTGGCTGAAATATTTCACTTAGCATTAAAAAAAACCCTGCATGAACACATTTTATATTACATATACTGCCTTTATTTATTTAAATTTTTAAAAAATTTGTCTTTTATTTCTTGAAATAAATTCATGAAGTTAGTTTCTTTCACTAGATCATATATAACCTAACTTGGCAACTTTCATGTAAAAAATTTTTTTACTCCAATTTTAATGTATTTTTTTAAAGTAATCTCTAACACGCGTGGAGACTATTTAAACTCCTACATCAAGTGTCACATGTTCTACAAACTGAGCTAGGCAGGTGCCCCAATGTAGTTCTTGTTAGCTAACCTTGAGACGAAATATGCAACTTTCAACTAAATGTCTAAATTACCAGCAAAACCTTAATTATCATATTGAAAAGTTCTGAATAACGGTGTTAATTTGGAGAAAAACCATAAAACCTACAGGGTACCCCTGAGAATTTCTGAGGTATTTTGACTTAGAATGACATTTTTATTAACTGACAGAAACCAGGAAAGATAATCTATACTATGAAGACTTGTAACAAAACACAAATTTCATAAATCCCTGACAACCTTGATGTATGTTACAATGGTACTGGGTACTGGGTATTGCAGTCTGTATATAATTTGCTTTAAATCTCTGGAGTACTTTTTTTAATGCTGAGAAGCTGGAGTTAATGATTAAAAAAAAATGCAGGTTTCCCATACAGCTTTGCTCTAGTAAGAAATCAGGTCCATAATTAATTTTCTCCTACATTAATTTATAGGTCTTTTTGTTCCTTTTGATCATATTGTATCATGAAACTATGATTCCTAGAAAATAAATAACTACTACTTACCATAATTTAAATAGTAATAATAAAACTACCTTTTAACTTTCCTGATGTAATACAATGTGTTTTCTTAAAGACTCTGCTTTATGTATAAGGAACAATACTAGGGGACCAGGTTTGAAAGAACAGATGAAAACAGACAGCTGGGGACACCAAGTTAAGTCATTAGAGAATAAAAGGTACAAACTAAGTGCAGTGCTACAGGAAGATTAATCTACCAATAATGTGTACAATACATTAGAAAAAAGAAAAATGATGACTAAGAAGGCTGGTTAAGGAGATTATATTAAAATTTCAAATAGAAAATACGCATTTGAATTAGACTGGTGGCAGCAGAATTAGCAAGTATGACAAGTACAATAAGGACTATAGAAAGTCCTTTAGGCTTTGTGGACACTGAACTAGTTCAAAAGCACAATGCCTCTTGGGTGGGAATTTATTCCAATCATCTATTTCTAAGAGTCTTAATGTTGCAAAAACATTTTTCTGCAGCCCCCAAAGCTTTTGGATCCTTCCTTCTCTCATTATCATTCTTTAAAATACTCTTTTCATGCACTGAGCTGGCATTGCACTGAGCTGGCATGAGAATAAAATAGTAACATACTGGTTTTCTAACTTAATAAGTATCTTTCTATGATAATATGTCACTACCTTAAACATTAATTATAAGTTTTTACCCATTGATTGTTATTGTAAGGAGCTGTTTATACCTGTCTATATTCTCTTAAAGCAATTTGAAATCTTGAAATAATTTTTAATATTCTATTAAGTTAAACATTTTAGTTTAAAAATTTTAAAATATTATATATTAGCCTTACCTATGGAATTTTGAATCTCATAATTAGTACAGTAAAAACCTTAAGAATGTACTTACAATTACAGGCTCTATTAATAGCCGGAAGAGTGTTCCTACTCGTATACTTCGACAGTTTAAAATGACACTGTCAAAGGAACTTTGGCAGCTTAAAGATACAGGATCAACTAAAGTTTCTTGAGACGTCACTTTACGACGTTTTAGAGGTGTGTTGACAATAGAATTACCAAACTGAAAAAGAAAAATAAATTTTCACTTAATTAAGCAACTAGAACAAGGCTGCAAACTAAGTACACATATGCAAAGAGGATGCAACATAAAAAAATGTAATTATCAAAACATAAGAGACTGATTTTACTTCAACAGGAGAATATTTATTGATTTCATATAATAGAAATCCTTCCTATTTTGTCCAGCTATACCTTATATCTAGTCATTATATGGTATTCCATTAATAGCACAGAATTGAGAAATGGTAATTTGGGAATCAGACTGCCTAGGTTCAAATCATAGCTATACCACCTTTTAATTATCTGATTTTTAAAACAATAACTCCTTAAGTTTTGATTTCCTGAACTGTAAAATACTGAGTATTCAAATGAACTAATGTATACAAGAAGCTTAGCACAGTGCTTCATGCACAGTAAAATGTTAGATGAAAGTTAGCTAGTAATAGTGGTAGTGGTTATAATGCTTGGATTAAATCAGCAATTCTTTTCTTTTTTTTAAGATTTTATTTATTTATTTGAGAGAGAGGTGAGAGCGAGAAAGACCGTAAGCAGAAAGGGTGTGGGGGCAGAGGGAGAAGCAGGAAGCCTGATGCAGCTTGATCCCAGGAGGATCATGACCCAGGCAGAAGGCAGATGCTTAGCTGACTGAGCCATCCAGGCATCCCTAAATCAGGAATTCTTTAGAAAACAGGTACTTAGGTGAATGGTTATTTACAAAAAGATTCTTCTTTATATATTTTAAAATGTTAAAGTACTTGATCTATTAAGATTTCAGGCACTTCCACATGCAAATTAATCATGTATTATTTTGAGTATATAATTTGATGGTACTGAAGTTATGCTAAAAATCTTATTATTATCACAAGAATAAAACATGATCTTGACAGAAGGCAAGAAAAAAAAAATCCACTGCATAGAGATAGGCACTATTCTCCCATTGTCCCTCTAGAGACATTTCTATGATGTATGGCCTAAGAAAAAATATGTATTAAAACAAAACACACATACACACACACAACACACACACCTGCAAACTTTTTCAGGCTTATTACAGATTGATCATGAATATTTTCCGAAATTATTAACAGAAACCTATTAAAGAGGTTTAAAGCCCTTTTTTTAGTTTCAGAATTATTTCTTCAAATGAAATGTTATTTAGCTCATTAATAAAATACATAATTTAAGAGCTGCTCCAGTTGAATCCAAAGTGGAGAGACTGAGTCTAGAAGTGGGTGGTCTACATCCTCCCAAGAAGCCTCTAAGAGAGCACTGAGGAACCCTTATTATTCAGTGTGCCAGTCTGAAAACTGTTCACCCACAAATTCCATCATATGGAAATTCATTATTTATTTCATTGAACCATCCTAGGTTGGATATGTGAGTTCTTTCTGACCTTACCCCATGACACACTATTCTCCTCCAAGCATTTCTGCAGCTTAATCATGGTATTATATATAACTACAGTCAAAATGCCCGCCAGCATAGCTATAACAATTTACACACTCAACTTTTCATTTCTCCAAACACTAACCAAAATGAACACTATTACATACTTTAAAAATTTTCAACAATCTGACAGTTAACAAAATGTATTTTAATTTCATTTTCAGTACTTCATTACCTTTTTAAAACTATTCATTTCCTTTACTCATTTTTCTATGGTTTGCTTCCATTTCTTGATTTTTAAGAAACAAAAAATACATAAAGCACAAACTCACACTGTCACACAGTTCACTGTTTTTCCCCCACTCACATTTACCTATCAAATTCAGCTTATGGTGTTTTAGTATACTGTTCTGTACTTTCCATTTAATAAAATATATTCATCTCTTCATTTACTATTTTTGCTTGGCTGAAATGCTTGAAAGGCATTCCCAAATTATATTAAAAATAATCCATATTCTTCTAGCATCATTATAGTTACTTTTTCATTTGTTTTCCATCTTAACAACGAAGTATGTATGTTTCCATATTTTTATCTATACTGATAACAATTTCTGACATATATATATATACGTATGTAATTTTTTAACATACAAGTTATTTTTTAAAAAGTTCTTTTTCTAAAAATAAAAAATATGCATAAATTTCTGTAACTTGGTATTCCTACCTACCAATACCATGTAGAAATCCTAAAAGTCATTTATACAGCTCTAATTCTTAGTCAATGGCTGCATAATAGTCTACAGTATGGATATACCATAATTTCTTCAGCCACTTCATATTGATGAACAATGATTCTGTTTGCATTTGTTTGCCAATAATCATGTTTACACATATGGTCTTAGATACTCCCTCTCTGTAGGGAAAATTTTGAGATTGAGTCTAGGGAATGAATATTTTGGTCATTCAGCACACATTCAAAAATTTTAATAGATGTTTTTACAACTGCCTTTCCCAAAAGGCCATAACAACTTTCTTTTCCACCTGCAAATCAGAAAAGTACCCTTTCCCTTGGAGTCTAGCCAGCAGTCCATATTAATTGATTTTGTATTAATTTTTAAAGTGTTAAGTTCATCTGAATTTTCTTTTTGTCTTTTTCTATCTTTACAAATTACAAACACATAATTTCTGTTATCTTTTGCCACCTGAACATTTTGAAATTTTTATATATTAAAATATAAAATAAAACATAGCAAACAATAGTATCATAGTATAATACATCCAAGTTAAAAATGACTTCTCCCTGTCCACTAGATTATACAAATATACTTGTTCATACTTATATTTCACTATAAAGTTGATGTTGTTTCTTGTTGTTGAATTTTTCACATTTTAAGCTTTTAACTTAATAGAAATTTATTTTTGTATATGTTTTAATGTTCTTTTAAATAGTCTTCCAATTGGTTATTTTAAGCCGCACTTAATGAATGAATAATTTATCTTTTTCTCCTAATGACACTGCCAAATTTCCCTCTAAAAAAAGTATTTACATCCCAAAGGGGGGACTTAATCTGAATAAATGGCAATAAATATGAAAAGTACCTGGTCTTTCATTCTTGCTTTTCTTGGCAATGTAACTGTATTTAACTCTGAATCTGCTGGAATGCTTCTTAGTTCATGCTCTACTCTACAGATATTTTCATTTAGTGCTGCTTCTACTTTTCCAGTGGATGGTGCTGGGGAAGAACATGCTGAATCAGCAGGTTGAGGAGATATGCTTTCTCTTCTGTTAGTCCTGTCATTGTCATCATCATCATCATCACTGGACAAAATTACTATAAAGAAAATGTTAAATACTTCAGGTATTTCATTTCTGTCAGTTAAATATGTAAATATATTATACCAAAGCAGGAAATATACCCAAACTGCTTTGGATCTCTTCCAGAACTGAGATTAATAAAAATGAATGAAGATACAATCCATTCTATCTGATGAAAAGTTAAATTTGGAGACAATTAAAAATGAAAAAAAGCATAAGAACTAGCTTTTTTTTAAATAGAATATACAAATATGAAATTATTCTGTAGTCCATTACCATCACCCACACAGGAAATATACACAAGTTACAGCAAAATTTAAATGTTTATCATAGATCTATTTCAGGGTTCTAGAAAGTCTCAAGAATGAAGATAATCTGCATTGTAAATGTGTGTGAAACTCCATGTGACCAAATAATTTTATTTCACATAGGCAATCACTAAAATCATAATTGGTCCTTGGGAGAATGTGGACCAGTGTTCATTGCTCAGTAAATTCTGTGGAGTAAGTGAATATGGGCATGAAAAGATATTATGAAGGGAATTTGCTCTTAGACCTTCTGCTCATTATTGGTCTTATCAAACCCATCTTTATATCATAATTCCCGAGAGCCACCCACAAGGCACTTGAGTCAAACCCTAACTCCTTATTATGGTTTATAAATGTACATAATCTGGCTACTGCCTACTTCAACTTTCTTATGCTACTCTATTATCCCCTTTCTGCTCTAGGCACACCATCCATTTATATTCTGTTCCTCAAACTCCACAGCTTGTTTCTGTCTGGACTGCAATTCCCCTAATTGCATTTCTGTCATCAAATATTAGCTTTTTGATTGATTACCCAATCTAAAGTAAGCACACAGGTACTTGGCATATTCATAACAACTGTGATATAAATTTTCTGTTGTTTTTTGTTGTAGATGTTTACTTGCTCTCTCCTCACTACATAAAAACTATGAGAGAGCAGGATCACTGCCTTGTTCACTGCTATATTCTGAGTCTAAAACTGCCTGGTGAAGAAAAAGAATTCAAAAATCATGTGTTGGAGAACACATAAACTTGTAGAAGCAATTTTTTTTTAGAATCCCATATGTAAATGTTTAGTTAATATTTTTTGAGTAATACACATGGCCCCAGAGAGGCATAATCCCAGCATCACTCCACCTGTCTTTTTTATTTTGCTGTCTAGTCTCAGGAGCAAATGCTAAACTGGATCTTTTCGGAACCATTTCATTAACAAAAAACCTAATAAGCCAGATTAGCAGGTCTAAGCAGATTTATACATATTTGAAAGTTGGGGTTTTTATTTACTATTTACCTCAGTTTCTCTTCTCTGTGAAATTAGGGTCAAAAATGGTACCTATTTCAAAGAACTGTCACAAGAACAAACGATTTAATATATAAAAGGTTTAGCACAGTGCCTGACATATATAAACTTTAAGAAAAAGTTCATGAACTGCATAATTTATTTATGAAAAACCATATAGAAACATATATATTAAAGGGGAAGCATAGTGTTCCATTGATAATTTTACGGTGCTTCAGGGACATTAAAACCTCTATATCTACTATATAAAAAATTCATTTAAAAGCCCCAATGCTGCAACAGATAGAATCATACTACATGGCTCTTGTTTTATTAACTTAAAATAAATGAGGGTTGTGCTCAATGACACCGTAATTGCAAAGCAAGTGGGAAGTGTGCAAAGACACCATATACTTAAAAATCTTGTTCTCATAGCTAATTTCATTCTATATGTTCTATCTGATATATAAGATTCTGCATCAGGGTCTATGATGGACGAATTGTGTCCCCTCAAAATACATACGTTAAAGCTCTAAACCCCTGTGACTATATTTGGAGATACAGTCTATAAGAGGGTTAAATGAGGTTAATAAAGGTTAAATGAGGTCATAAAAGTGAGGCCTTAATCTAATAGGACTGGTGTCCTCATAAGAAGAAATGCAGAGGTTTCTCTATGCAAGCACAGAAGAAAGGCCATGTAAGGACACACTGAGGAGGTGGCTGTCTACAAAGTGATGGCACTTTGATCTTGGACTCCCAGTCTCCAGAACTGTGAGAAAACAAATTTCTGTTGTTTAAGCTACTCAGTCTATGGTATTGTTATGGAAACCCAAACACACTAATACAGGATCTTTGTACTTATATTCCATCTTGTTCCTATAGATATCAGCACATCCTTCTCTTTGCTTCATTCTGGGCTCTCTTCAACGGTTACTTTATCAAAGGTACCTATTCTACCACCTATCTAAAATAGCACCCTTCCTCATCTTGACACCTAACAATTAGCACTCTCTATTCCTTGGACCGTCCTTCACTTTTCTACACAGAATTTATCACCACTACTTGACACACTGTACATTTTATTTACTATTTGACCACCCAGGACATAATAAAAGTTTCATTATAATAAGCTACTTTAATAGGAACACAAATTTAAGAATGATGAAGTATATAAGGAAAACAGACTTTAGAACCAGAAAAACCTGTTTTATGAAAATCTAAACTCCAACAGTCCCTAAGTATATAATATTGAGAAGTTAATCTCCTTAAGCCTAGGTTGCCTCATTTATAAAATGGGATGTATTCATGTCTACCTCACATGCAAAGCAAGGCACATAAGCATTCAATAAATGATATTTTTTATTACTAATAAAAAAGGTTCTTAAAACATATTTTTCCATGTATTTTAATGGGAAATGCTTAGTCTTCAATTTTTTTTTTCCTTTTTTGAGCAGGGGAGGGAATGAAATTTATGCTTTATGGTTTTAATTCACGGTTGATAGGGTCCTAAGTCAAGCTCTGAATATTAAACCACTTAGGGCACCTCAAAACCACGTAAATTTATTTTGTTTTTTTAACTTATCACCTTAGCCTTATTAACTTCTAGTTCTCTCATCCTAGAAATCTCCTCAGGATGGTTAAGTTTCCTATATGACATTTGGCTCAGTAACAGTACCCAGTAACTATCTAGTGAGAGTTTTCTTCATATCTAACCATTAAAATGTAAAAACCTCACCATTAGGAAAGATTCAAATGACATTAACAATATTTAATACTGTACTGGTATAACACTAAAATGTATCATAAAATACTCATCAAATACCAACACCATCATAATATAACAGAATGTTGGTTAGACATTCATCATACACTAATCATTTTTTTAACTTTTTTTTTTTTAAATTTATTTATTTGAGAGAGAGAGAGAGAGAGAGCACAAGCAGAAGGGCAGAAGGAGAGGGAGAGAGAATCTCAAGCAGACTCTGAGCTGAGCGCAGACTGATGTGGGGCTCAAGCTCACGACCCTGAGATCATGACCTGAGTCGAAACCAAGACTTGTAAGCTTGATCAACTAAGCCACCCAGACACCCCTGAGTTCTTTTTGAAAAATAAGCTAATGTACTGGTATGAGCTAAGGTTTTTATATTGAATCAAATTAAAATAGAACTTGACATATTTCCCAGGTTAAAATTTTTTTTTTTAATTTTATCCCCTTTTATTTACCAGTTTTTAAAGTAATGATTTGGAAACTAAGCAACCTCCAAAGGTAACCAATGGAGAGCTTTTCTTCTTTTGAGGGGATATCATTATGAGCTAATTAATTTTAATATATTTGACATATTTTAATAAATAGTTATACGTTTTGTGACCCAAGTAGTCCCATTACTGGTCAGTAGGAGCCCTTTCTTTTTTAGCTCTTGTGTCCTTTTGACATGTCCATAGTCATTTTTGACTGCTTCCATGCTTCCTGACATGAGTAGATGATCTAGATCTATTAAATATACTCCTGCTCTGACTTGGAGTCAGCCATTTCTCTGAGAAGTTCTAGTTATTTTTACTGAGAAATGGAATTCAAAAAACACAAATATGGGAACTAGGATTGTTCACTTCTATTTAAGAGAATATATATAATAATCTCACACTACTATGTCCAATTCAAGTTTAAAATTATGGGATTTTTATTTCTCTGATTTTACTTTTGAACTCCCTTTCACTAACAATGAAAATCTTGGTTTCTGGAGACACTATAATTGCTTATTGCTTTATCAATGTATGTGTTTAAAAATAACAATACCAATATTATTAATAACAATATTACTAAGTACACTTAGGATTTCTTTGCAGTTCTATTTAACCTTAAAATATACCACATTAGGAATGTATAGCCACAATATTATTTTAATTTAAATTCACTTGAAAGAATTCTCCTGTGTGTTCAAGCCACCGACCAGATACATAAATAGGTTCATTAGTTTCATCTTGGTTTTGGTTTTTTTTAAACTTCCAATTTAATTTTGTTTTATAATCATGTAAAACATTTACATGGTTCCAAAGTCAAATCTACAAAAAAAGAGCTTGTTTGGAAATATCTAACATCTAGCCCTAATTCCTACATTGTTTCCTCCCGTCTAACCAACTACTTTTAAAAATTAGTTTTTGGTATATCTTTCCATTTAAAAAAATCCCTATATTCATTCTCCCGCCCTTCACAAATAAAGGGCAGCACATATTCACTCTGATCTGTACCTCATTTTATTCATGTTACTAAAGATCTTAGAAATTATTTTACAGAATATTGAGATCTTTCTCTCCTTTTGCAGCTATGTATACTATAGTTTATTCAACTACTTCCTGAGTTTTCAGTCTTTGGCTATTTATTACAAACAGGACTGCATTTCATATACACACATATATGCACCTATGTCTAAAGGTAGGAAAAAGGTTTAGGGGAAGAGTAAAAGTGGCAAGGGAACTAGTTTTCCCTGAGTCCTTTCTGTGTATCAAATACTTTATTTACTGGGCTTTGCTAGGCAGTTTAAATGTTATTTTATTTACTTCCTCAAAAACACTGTCAGGCAGGAAATAATCCATTTACAAATCAGAGAGATTAAATTAACTGAGCCAAAGTTAGAAAGTTGGGCATTAACTGGCATTTGACCTATGACTAGGGCCAAGGTCTGTGCTTTTCTTTTTTTAACTATTTAAGATGGACAGGATGAGAACAAAGTCAGTTATTTTCCAACTACATGGACAGTTTTAATCATCTACACAAAAAACATGTTACATAACTGACACAAGAGATACCTATTAAAACTATACTTCTCAAATATGCTCATGCTCACATTAAAAATATATGTAAAAAATATTGGATTGATATAAGTAATACTAAAGGGAGTAAAATACTTACTTGGATCATTTAGGTCTGACAGGCTTGTTTTCCTTTCTTTCAGGTTTGTGATTTTGGCTACTTTTGCCCTAGGTAAAATGACTTTCCCATTAGTCTGTAAATAATTCTGTCTACTATCATCACAATTCACAATAATATCAACTGGAATCTTTCCCACACTGTTGCCATAAAACTTCTTGGATGGTAATGCTGTGTTTTGTGCCTTCTGTCCTCCAGAATTCTGATGAATTGATGTTCTTAATAATGGTCCAGTAGATTCACTCAAAGTTATAGCTTGTCTGCAATTTCTTTGCAAATCCTTAGGAAAAAAAATACCACAAAACTTTGGCATTTGGTCTGATTTTCCTTTTCTTTTCCACATTTTGGACAATACCCACACTGTTTAGAAACCTTAAGTTCCAAAAGGATAAAAAAAAAAAAAGACTTTGGCATTTTATTTCAACATCATGGAATAAAAAGTAAGATCTCAAAATTATATCTCTTACTCCCCATCATCATCACCAAGGCTACCACAAAATGCTAAATACTAAATACATCATGTTACTTGGGATTTAGCATCAGGATGCTGGAAGGAATTTTTGGACCCATCTAGTCCATGTATACTACTCAATGGCGACATAAAGATTTTCTATGGCATAGAGAGCATAAATAATCTTAATGGAATAAATATCTAAATCTTCCATTTCCACATATCATTCTAAAACCTGACTTGATTATGCCTCTGATGGAAAGTTATCTCCTGCCAGAACTGTTCTCATAGTTTAAAAAAAAAAAAAAAAAAAAAAAAGCACCCAACTTCCATTTGAAATATTACAACGGTATACTACCCTGGAGTATAAAAACCATGAAACCAAACAAAAGGACAATTTTAAATGTTGGAAAAAATAATCAATTCTAAATATTGGTTAACAAAAATTTTTACAAGACAACTGATTTCTAAGACAGTGCTTCAAAAATATTTTAAGGAAGGCCGAATCTAGATTACAATTGTGAGATTATTAAAAATATTTTTGATGGTAGAGCTTCCTTTGAGATTTGGGACATATAATTTAAGAGTTTAAGGATTGTTTTCATACTCATATACTTATTTATGTGAAAAAGGTTCTTTAGCGCGTACAAGAAGGAAAAACATGAAGAGATGTTGAATCCTATCTGAATATGCAACATAATATTTATTCATGGACACAGGAATTGAGGAAAACAGTCAATGTCTCTAATTAAGACATACATTTCCAATAACTTTACTTTTTATGTCAAATAATTACTTATCAAACTATAACAGTTTTAATCAAAAGTCTACCAATAAAAACCAAAATAACTCAATCAAGAAGAAATTTTTTTAAACACTTTGAGCTTTATATCATAGGAAATAAGTGGATAAATACTTCTGGCAGTGAGATTTTAGAGACAGTAATTATTAAGTGAGTTAACCACTCTATTTTAAAATGTTACTCCTTTTACTGTGTCAACTATAACATCCTATGTAACCATTTAAACTTGAAACAAAAAATGTTGAATGCCAACTTAGAAATACGTAAGAAAATATATAGTTGTTTAAAAAAGTCTTTTAGGTGACAGAAGTCATCAAGCAGTTGTAGGAGGATTGACCTGTAAAAGTGGTAGTTATATATGATCACTGTGTAAACATAAATTTCAAAATTCACTGAGCTAAATGCTTATGGTCTATACATTTCTTCTACGTAAATTTATAACTCAAAAATACGTAGAGAAAGTCTAAAGCCCACTGTTGTAGTCTTATCTCCTTGTTTAAAGATGGGAAAACTGACAAAAATTATTTACCTTGTCCTACATGACCCACAACAAAGCCATTCTATTATACTATGTTACCTATTCAAGAAATCTACCCCAGATTAACAACAAAGAACGAAACCAAGCTTCAACCAAGGCAAAGAGAGCATCAGCTCACTAACTCAGCATAGGTAGATTAAAAAAACAAAAAACAAAAAAAACATGTCTCTTTCTCTGCCAGTACATAGTTTTGTCTAGAATTCAGTTATACTACTTGTGGAGTCTGGGTCTAAGGAATTTATTTTTCTCATAGCACTTTTGATAGGACCTTGTGTATTTAGGACACACAGTTAGCAGGTGAACTATGCAAACAACTGGTTACACACAAATATGGGACAGATTAACTGAAATTTTAGCCTACTGTCAATAAGGGAAAGAAATAATAGTATAGTTAAACCTTAAACAACACAGGTTTGAACTGCACAGGTTCACTTACATGATGATTTTTTTCTTATAAATACAGTACAGTACTATAAATGTTTTTTGCTCTTCCTTATGATTTTCTTAACATGTTCTTTTCTCTAACTTACTTTACAGTAAGAATACAGTATATAACATGCAACATATGTGTTAATTGCCTGTGTTGTTGGTAAGGCTTCCAGTCAACACAGATTATTAATAAAGTTTTGGGGGAGTTGAAAGTTATATGCAGATTTACTGTTCAGGGGGTCAGTACTTCTAACTCCTGTGTTGTTGAAGGGTCAACTCTATATTTAAATGAAATAATGCAATTATTCACTAAGGAACTGCAAATGGTTGGCCATGTACCAATGCACCTAAAAGGAAAACTCATAAATAAAGAGGTAATCTCCATCTATATACCACCCCGCAATAAAACACCTAATCGTCTAAGAAAAAGCTAAACCCCACTATTTTCATAATGAAAATGATCAAGCTGGGTACTGACTGCCTCCAATTTTTCACTGTCTGTAATAAAGATTAATAGGACATATTTCAAATGAACAAAACCACATGAAAAGGTGATACTTCCACGTATTTCCTTTTAAAAAATCGATATTAAACAGAAAAAGCACACACTGTTAAAATTTCTGATATTAAAATACAGAATTAAATATATTGTGAGCTATTATCATATGGCTTCCATCAGCTAAGAAACACATACCTTGGAACTATTTGCAACAATTAAAAACAAAATGCAGGTTAGCTGAACCGAATATTAAATTTTTCATGATAAAAACTAGAGATTCAGAATTTTATCAACCTAGGAATTTCAAAACTAGAATCTCAATACTCCTCAATTACTTTTAGTGAAGTGTGTATAAAGTTGTATATTTCCATAACAATTTCATGTTAGATATAATTTCTTTTGGAAAACAAAGACTAATTAAAGTTATCATTTCCCCCCTTTTGTAGGTAGACTTTTACAAAATAAAATAAATCAAAATCACTAATACATACTATCTGCCAGGCTTTATACATAAATAATAAGAATTATACTTAATAAGAATTGAGCCTATCTCTGATGAGAACCACTGAGACATCATTTTTAGTAAATAGCCTTAAGATGTATAATCTCATTAAATATCAAAGACTGTGTTTCCTTATAAGCAGTACAGAGCATAGCATTTCAGAGACTACATGTGGGGGAAAAAAACTCCACTAATCTTGTCCAAGAATTAAAAATTACACAGAGGGTGGCTAGAATCTATTCTTCATGTTCACGAAGAACAGAATAAGAACAACTGGCATGGAAGTGAAAAGTAAAAGAAAGATGTATTTTGGATGTTAAAAAAATTCTGATGTTTTCAGCTTGCATGCCTAGGGAAGGATGTTGTGTCTTGGGGGAGCTTTTATCTTTTCTTATTCTTCTTTACCTGAATCAAGCAGTGGGCAAGGTAGTGGGGAAATGCCAGTATGGCCTAAGCCAAGCTTAGGCTGGCATGCCAGGAAAATAATCAAATAAAAAGCAACTAAAGCCAATAAGTAAATACACTGGATATGATGGAAGTCAGGTTTCTCAGTCAGAGAAGGAAGTTACAAACATGCAAAGTGGGAAAGACTAAGATAAACACTGTGGCTTTAGACTACAATTGGAATTATCGGTATGAATTCATGGATTTTATTTTATTATTTTTCGTTTTTTTTTGCCTCAACTCAGTCTCAAGGCAGCTCCAGATGAATTCATGGATTTTAACATGTACTAAATACTAACATATAAACACACATATATTTACTAGTTTTGTCCACTAAGAGGGTCTATAAACATGATACCAAGTTGCAACGAGCATAACTAATGCCAAAATACCTTTCCACCACTTATAGGAACAATGGCTCCTTGGAGAAATGAATGACTCTAGACCTGAGACAGAGAAATACAAATAAGTAAGTCTAGACTATCTGGTTACATCAAAAATTAAGGGAAGTACTCAGAGAATGATGTGTATGTGTCAAAAAGAAAGAGGAGCCAGCTTAAAGAACTTCCCAGGGACTAAGACTGGGACAATTTGAGCATCAAAATAGTAACAGTGACAGAACATAACTTTTTTGAGTAAGAATCCATGTTGTGTCAACTATACTTCAATAAAAAAAAAAAAGGTATCTATATATCTATACTGATATAAAGGAATACATAAGTAAATATAAGATAAGGAAACCCTCTACCTTATAGTAGCTTCTCCTTAATTCTTGAGCTACTGTAAGGTTACTCTACCTTAAAGTACGTAGCCTATCTTACAGTAGCTGATCTTATTAATAAATAAGAAATACCTACTAATTAACTTTACAGCGGACAAATCTAGGAAAGCATATCTTAAGATAGAAGTTACAATGTGAAAATCAACATTGTATGCAATCTGATATGATGAAACAGTAAGATTACAGAATCACTTCAGAGGATTCTGGAAAAGTGCATAAATCATGAAGAAACATACTTTCCACAATACCAAGGTGATGAAAGACATGGAAAGACTAAGGAATTATTCCAGATTAAGGAAGAGTAAAGATCATAACAATTAAATATAACACAATTCTGAACTGAATCCTGTTCTGATAAAGGACATTACCTAGGTGAAATTTGAATGGAGTTGTGGATTAGACAGTAATTTTGGATTCATGTTAATTTTTAAATTTTGACAGCTGCACTCTGGTTATGCAGGAAAATGTCTCCTCTCCACCCCCTCCCCTGCCTTTTTTAAGGAAACATGCACTAAAGTATTAAGTGAAAAATGGGCATGTCTGTTACTTATACTCAAATGGTGCAGAAACACACACACTTACATACACACACACACACACACACACACGGAAGTTAGAAGGAAGGCAGAAGGAGGGAAAACAATATATCAAATGTGGAAAAATGGAGCATCTAATAGAAAGGTATACAGAAAATCTTTTTGTTATTTCTTCAACTTTTTGTAAATTTTAAATTTCAAAATATTTCTGGTTGAGAGCTATTATTTGGAGTATGTTGCAGGAAGGCACTGATCATACATGTTCTACATTTTTGATAGTGAAAAAAATGACATAATGAAGGCAGAAAAGTTTGCTTAAATAACTTTTCTAGGTCTTTTCTAGTCCTGTAAGAAAAGATCACCTAGAATTTAGTAAGTACTAAATACTGATAAAAATACCAACTGATGAGCAACAGAGAATCATTTCTCCACCCACCTCTAAATCAGTTAAACATTTTTTTGAAGCAGGAGACAGAGGAGGCGGAGACTGATATGTGCTACTGTGACGTTTCTGTGGTACTTTCCTTTTAATTTCAGACTCCAGGTGTGATTCAGACTCTTCAGTTTTCTTTATTATGCGATCTAAAGGAAGGAGAAAAAAACCAAAAGTACTGAAATTAAATTTTATAAATTCCTCATGATCTTTGCTATAAACAATGCTAATTTATATTATCAAATTATTATGTTTTGGTTAAAATAAATTAATGTTTCACAACATATATATTAAAGAGTAACCAAAACTTGGGAGCGGGGAAAGATGGCTGAGTAAGAGGATCCTGAATTCACTTCCTCCCTTGGGCACCAAGGCAACAACTACATACAGTACAACTCACTCCGAAAATGACTTGAAGATTACCAGAACAGATCTTCCACAGTTAAAAAAATAAAGGAAAAGGCACATTGAAAAGGGTATGAGGGCCAGAGATGCAGTCGGGAACCAAATCCCCTGCTGACGACCCAAAAGGGGGAGGGATAACACAGGTGTGGGGGGTCCTCACTGAGGAGTGAAGGGATCAAGTTAGGCACCCTGACTCTGGGAATCACACCAAGAAGACAAGCCACCATAACACCTGGCTTTGAAAATCAGCAGAGATTAACTCCAAGAGCGTTGAAAATCAGTTAGGCCTTAACTCTGGGAAAGCTGGAGGGCTATAAGACAAAGACTCTGCTCTTAAAGGGCCAGTGCATTATATCACTTAGCACTTTGAAAAGTACCTGGATTACACATGAAATAGATTCATTAACTAAGTTTAGGGCATGTGTGGAAGGGAGAGGATATACAAGAGGTTTCTCCAAGAATGAAAATACTGGGAAGCACCATTTTTCTTGCCCTTCTTCAGCCTAGCTGACCAGACACTTGCAGGTGCCAGTTTTTGACACTATCTATCTACTTAGTAGCACTGCTTACTCCTCCCCAGCATTTGCCTGTGGACCCACCCCCAACTCAAGCAGCCAAACCCCATGTGTACCTCCAAAGCAACTCCCACAACGTCACATCCAGTGAGCAACCCCTCAGGAACAGTGCCTCTGCTACAAGCATACTCACGGCAGCTGTAGCTGGACCACTCAGCCAGGTGTGCCAAGAGCTAACCCTACTTATCAGCAAGGCCACTGCAGTCACAGCCAGGCCTCTCAGCCAGCCCTGCTCACCAGTATACCCCAAAGACGTCACAGCTTAATCACAAAAGGAAGGTGTACACACAACCTACACAGGGGATACCCCTGGAGCACCTGTTTCTAGTGACTTGGGGTGAATGCGCTACCTGGCCTCACAGGATGCCTTCTATATAAGACCACTGCTTTCAAGATCAGAAGTAGCTGACCTACCTAATAGATAGAAACAAAACAGACAGTCAGAAAAATGAGGACACAGTGAGATATGTTCCAAACAAAAGGAGTTAAGACAAAAGCTCAGAAAAAGAACTACATGAAATGGAGATACACAAGTTACCCAATGAAGAATTCAAAGTAATGGTCATAAGGAGGCTCACCAGACATGAAAGAAGAGTAGATGAACAAAATAACAACTTTGACATAGGGATAAAGAATTTTGAAAAGAGCCAATCAGAGCTGAATAATACAATAACCAAAATTAAAAATACATTAGAGGGAATCAACACCAGATTAGAGAATGAAGAATGGATGAACAATCTGGAATATATGTTAATGCAAAGTACCCAAGCTGAACTGTGAAAAGAAGGAGAAAAAAAAAAAAAAAAGGACAGGTTAAGGATTCTGGAACAACATCAAGCATATTTTCTTTAAAATTTTTTATTGTTATGTTAATCACCATACATTACATCATTAGTTTTTGATGTAGTGTTCCATGATTCATTGTTTGTGCATAACACCCAGTGCTCCACGCAGAATGTGCCCTCTTTAATACCCATCACCAGGCTAACCCATCCCCCCACCCCTCTCCCCTCTAGACCCCTCAGTTTGTTTCTCAGAGTCCATCGTCTCTCATGGTTCGTCTCCCCCTCTGACTTACTCCCCTTTATTCTTCCCCTCCTGCTATCTTCTTCTTTTTCTTTTTTCTTTTCTTTTTTTTTTTTAAAGATTTTTATTTATTTATTGAGAGAGAGAGAGCATGGTAGAGAGAGAGCATGAGAGGGAAGAAGGTCAGAGGGAGAAGCAGACTCCCTGCTGAGCAGGGACCCCGATGCGGGACTCGATCCTGGGACTCCAGGATCATGACCTGAGCCAAAGGCAGTTGCTTAACCAACTGAGACACCCAGGCGCCCCCTTTTTCTTTTTTCTTAACGTATGTTGCATTATTTGTTTCAGAAGTACAGATCTATGATTCAACAGTCTTGCACAATTCACAGTGCTCACCATAGCACATACCCTACCCACTGTCTATCACCCAGCCACCCCAGCCCTCCCACCCCCCACCACTCCAGCAACCCTCAGTTTGTTTCCTGAGATTAAGAATTCCTCATATCAGTGAGGTCATATGATACATGTCTTTCTCAACATCAAGCATATTAACATGCACATTATAGGGGTCCCAGAAGGAAGGAAAAGGGGTAGATAATTTAACTGAAGAAATAATGACTGAAAACTTCCCTAACTTGGGGAAGGAAACAGATATCCAGGTCCGGTAGCACAGAGAGAGAATCCCAAACAAGATGAACCCAGAGAGGTCCATACCAAAACAGATAATAAAATGTCAAAGATTAAAGATAAAGTGAGAATCTTTTTTATCTTAAAAGCAGCAAGAGAAAAGCAAATAGTTACATAACAGGGAAACCACATAAGGCTATCAATCTGATTTTTCAGCAGAAAGTTTGCTGACCAGAAGGGAGCAGTATGATTATATTCAAAGTGCTGAAAGGAAAAACCCACAACCAGGAATACTTTACCAGGCAAGAAATGCATTCAGAATTGAAGGAGAGTTTAGAGTTTCCCAGACAAACACAAGTTAAAGAGGTTCATCATTAGTAAACTACCTTACAAGAAATGTTAAGGGGACTTCTTTTTTTAAAAAGATTTTACTTTTATTATTTATTGAGAGAGAGAGGATGCATGAGAGCGAGCGAGTAGGGAGAAGGGCAGAGGGAGTGAGAGTAGTAGGCTCCTAACTGAGCAGGGAGCCCAACACAGGGCTTAATCCCAGGACCTCAGGATCAAGACCTGAGCCGAAGGCAGACGCTCAACCAACTGAGCCACCCAGGTACCCCGGGACTATAAAAGTTGTGCAAAGCAAATGAAACCATCAAAATGAAAAGGAAACCCACCAAATAGGAGAAGATATTTGCAAATGATATTATCTGATAGGGGATTAATATCCAAAATACATAAAGAACTCACACAATGAAAAATCAAAAAGACAAACAATCCAATTAAAAAATGGGCAGAGGATCTGAACAGACATTTTTCCAAAGACAGTCAAATGAGAAGATGAATCAACATTACTAATAATCAGGCAAATGCAAATCAAAACCACAATGAGGTACCATCTCACACGCCAGCCAGAATGGCTAATATCAAAAAGACAAGAAATAATCAGTGTTGATGAGGATGTGGACAAAAGGGAATCCTCACTCCCTACGAATGGGAATGTAAACAGGTTAGCCCCTGTGGAAAACAGTAGGGAGGTTCTTCAAAAAGTTAAAAAGCAGAAATACCATAGGATCCAGTAATTATACTACTATTTACCCAAAGAATTAAAAAAAAAAAAAAACTAATTTGAAATGATTTACCTACCCCTATGTTGATAAACACACACACACACAGAGGAATGTTAGCCATAAAAAAAAATGAAATTTTGCCATTTGTGACAACATGGACCTAGAGGATATTATGCTAAGCAAAATAATTTATGTGTGGAACCTAAAACATCAATCAAACAAACAAAAAGCAGAAACAGATCCATAAATACAGAGAACAAACTGATGGTGGCCAAGAAGGGGGAGGGGTGGGTAAAACAAGTAAATGGGGATACAGGGTTCCAGTTATGGAATGAGTAAGTCACAAGGATAAAAGGCACAGCATAGGGAATACAGTCAATGATACTGTAATTGTGTTGTATGGTGACAGATGTTAGCTACACTTGTGATGAGAACAGCGTAATTTAAGGAGTTGCGGAATCACTATGTTGTACACCTGAAACTCATGTGATATTTTATGTCAACCATACTTCAATAAAAATAATATTAATAAAAGAATAACCAGAACTCTAAGTTGTAGCCCTGTAGTCATATCCTGGTAGCTCTAGTCTACTTTTCATTCCTCACCAGGATCTCCACACACACTGTGGACCACTTTTGTCAAGTGTACCAATATTCTCTTCAGGTTATTCTGTGTTACTAAGGCAGCAGAAGCACTTTTCACACTAAATCAATCAAATGAATCAATCAATCGCCTCTCTCTCTCTCTCTCTCACACACACACACTTTTTTCTAAGTTAGTTAACTCTTCTTAGATTAATAATGAAAGGAGCTCCTGAATGGTTCTGTCAGTTAAGCATCCAACTCTTAGTTTTGGCTCAAGTCATGATCTCAGGGTCATTGAGATCGAGCCCTGTGACGAGCTCTCCCTCTAAAATAAAAAAAAATAATTAGTAATGAGAAAAAATTTTAATTCAAACACTGGCTACAACTGTTTAGATGAAGGAAATTAAACTAATATGTAGCCTAATGGTCTTTTTATGTTCAAGAAATACAAAAGGGTTTTCCTCATTATTTTTCAATGTAAGTTTAATAATTTTCATTAAGGATATAATTAGAATTTTTAAGTAAGCAACAAAAACAGGACAATATTTATTACAATCTAATTTTATCAGCAAAGATTTAAGTAAGCAAGAAAATAATATAAGTTTCTAAAACATAAGTTAATGAATCTACAAATCAAAATGTTCTACCTGCATAATCCCAAATTTGTTAAATACTTCAATATTCCTATCTTCAATATCCTCCTAACTTTTAATTTTTTAAATAAGGAGATAATTATCTGTACATAGAAATCAACATTATGTAGTATTTCTGAGTTTGATATACAATATTGTATTAAGAAGCCTATATAATTATTCTTGCTCTTAAAAACACACAGAGTTGCACTAAGTGAATTCTACCTTCTCA